TTTTCTAGATATTTCTTTCTTGTCATTCTTGTGCTTTCCTATTACATGTAAACATAGCGCTTATTGCTTTTTTTTTTGTTACGCGATTTTGCTTCAAGTACAATTGTAGTACAGTTTTTCTCTGATCTTTCAGCTAACCAGAAAGTGATTCAACAACCCCAACAAAGGCCAGCAAGCACACCGACGGAAACTCAACACTGTGTGTTGACAAGCGTTCAACAGGAGATTGCCGCGCGTCGGAAAGCTAATATTTCTCGTCAGGATTCAAGGCTATCTGTGAAATGTTTAATAGAAAGTATTGAGAATGCTACAAAACAAGCAAAAGCAGGTATGAAACACATAATAGATGAATTTTTCTAACCACCCAATATATCTTCATATGACTCTAATATAATAATTTGTACATAGGCCCTGGAAGTCGTAGCAGTTCTACGTCCTCGCTTAATTCCATTGGAACAAATGATATAATGACATTAAAAGCCCCACTTCGTGATCAGCAGCAGATCAATAATTTAATCTGCACAACGAACTCAACAAATAATAATAAAACCCAAACCGCAATTACTAGAAAACCACTGTCAGGTAATTTTCTTTTTAAACATTATGTTATCACTATGCTAAGTAACGACATGTAATTTATTTTCAAATGTTATTTTCAAAAGTTTTGAAACAAGATTATTCATAAAATCCTCTGAATCATACACTGTTGCTTTCTAAAGCCAATGTTCTGCAAAAGCATTTGAATGTTATAGAACTTTTCAATGATTAATACAGAAACAAAGTCAACAGTGCCTGTAGTGTTGAGTCCTGGCGAACTGCTAGATTCTGCTGCACTGAACGCGAAGGCAATCGACTTTGTACGTCGCAACAGCGTAACGGACTTATCAGAGCGCAAAGATCCTCTCTGTGGATTGATAAAAAACGGAGGCTCGAAACGAAACGCATTGCTCAAATGGTGCCAGAACAAGACTATGGGCTACCGGAATATTGATATCACGAATTTTAGTAGTTCGTGGAACGACGGTTTGGCTCTTTGCGCCATCCTGCATTCCTATCTCCCACACAAGGTACCATACGATACGTTGACACCAGTGGAAAAGAGAAGAAACTTTTCTATTGCTTTCTCCGCTGCGGAAAGCGTTGGGATATCTACTACGTTGGTAAGTTATAAATCGTGTGATTGTTATGTACACTACTATCCATAAGTAGTTGGACACTTGGTGGGTATTTTTGTTGTATTTTCAAAATTATGATTAGATTGCGAGTATATTTAAATAGAAAATTTAAGTAGAAAATTTAGCTATTAAGTATTATAACAGATATTATACTTTCTATATGTTAAATATATATTTTTTCACACCATATGCATTCTATGCATTTTTGCACTTTCAAATTACCCATAAATGCATAAAAATTTACACTCTGGTTATGGGTGGTAGTGTACCTTTTAGTAAAAAGACTTTACTAAGAAGTTACTTAATTCATAGAACATAGGGGAAATGTGTCAATTGGAGCGACCTGACTGGCAACAAGTTATGACATATGTGACCAGTATTTACAAGCATTTTGAAACCTAATTTTCGGTTCGGTGTCTCCTGTCATCAAGACGGTTCCTCCTCTCATTGAGAATTCACCGTTGGACCGAGAACGAATCAAGAACAAGGATCATCTAGTCATCTAAAAAACAAATTTTCTATAGGGATGAAAATCTTTCCAAGAACTTTTTTCTTTTTTGGATTTCCAAGAATCGCTGGATTATAGCACTGCCTACGCCTAATGCCTGTGTATGATCGCGAGAGTGTGGATTTCAATGGGACATATAAATCTGACACCAAATGGAATTGCTTTTTACTATGAGACTGAATGTTTTTAATATACATGCATATATTATATATATATGTTAAGAACCGGAGACAAAGAAATAGAGGCAGGGATTTATAAAGAAAAACAGGAAGTAACTAGAGAGAGACGTGCTTCTGTAAAAGAGAGAAAAAAATGAATATAGAAAAATGCAAGCTTTATCGAGTCTTCTTGTGCGTGAATATGTATCATATATATGTTTCAGTGCCTCCATTGCAAAGCCAATACATTAATTCCATTACATGCAAGAGGGTTTTTTCTACCTATCGTAAGTCTTGCATTTTTTTGTAACTGACACAAGTGTCGAGGTAAATATTTCCGTTCCTCTCATACTGTGAGTATTTTTCTACTTGTATTATTTTTCGAGAAACTTTTGTAAAGTTTTAAGAACGAATGTACAGAATGAAGCGCCTTAATTTAAAAAAGAGAAAACCTAATTTATTGTATTAGTCACGTTTTTTAGTATATATATATATTATAATATTATACGAAAGCCGAGCAGCAAATTTATTAGAGAGACGAGAAAGCATCGTTTAAGTTCTACTTTCTGAGTGTAGTAAAGAACGAACGAAAATATTCATGAGGATTAAGTTCTCTGTGATATAGCGAAATAGCCTCGAAACAGAGATAGAAACGTTATCGTTATTGCTCTTATTATTATTATTATCATTATTATTATTACTATTATTATTACTACTACTACTATTACTACTACTACTACTACTGCTGCTGCTACTGCTACTATTATTATTATTAATACTATTGCTACTATTAATATCATCCTCATCGTCATTGTTGTATCATTGTAGACAATATGCTGTCTGACATAAAACAATAAACTTGCCTAATGACTATTTAAAAATTGGGAGTTATTATATCTTATCGTATAACAGGAAGTTGGTAAATGCACAAATTAAGAAAAAAGTCTTTTTAATGAATCGATGATATTTACAAGTTTTGTGTATATTATTTACAAGTTTCGCGTCAGAGAAATTAGTTTTCAATCCTTTGTTGTTTTATACCGGTGTAGATAGTCGGCTTCCTACTACGACGTTATTTCTATTTTATGTTTAATTTGTCCAGACTTTTATCACGATTCACTTACGTCCATTTTGTCCTGATCTTTTTCTCCGGAATAATACTCATTATTTGGTTCAACTATCTTATCAGTGTCCTGTGTATTTTGCCTGGAGTCAGGGTCAGGTTCTGGTTGCCTTTCTTCCTCTGGAGGCAACGCATCGCATGGAACATCCTGCATTTGGACACTTGGAGAGTGTTGAATCATTTTCAAGTTATCATAAACATGTCTCGTAATAGCCTCCAAATACTGTTTGCTATTCGCATTGTCTTGTCTGGTTACAACATCAGGATGCAATGTAAAGTCTGGTGCGAAGTACTCTAGGTATTCTGTGTAGGGTAGCTCATTACTGATTTGTTCATCGACGAGCAAAGAGCTTTCGTAGGTCCAGCAACGCGCGACATTACGCAACGTATATCCCCCTCCTCCAACAGTAAGCAATGGCACATTTAGGTCTCTCACGAATTTCACACATTCTCCATGACCTTTTGTGCTCAAACTAAAACAGCCAAGACGATCATTTGCGAGCGAATCTGCTCCACATTGTAGAACTATAGCAGTTGGTTGAAAGAACTCCATTACATGAGATATAACAGGCTTAAATACTTGAACATAAGATGTATCATCAATGCCTTCTTTCAAAGGTACATTAACAGAATAATATCGTCCACTTTCTGCTCCAATTTCGTACATATCTCCAGTACCAGGAAAGAAATAGTTTCCATACTTGTGGAAAGATACCGTCATCACTCTATCTGTGAGATAAAATGCTTCTTGTACTCCATCCCCATGGTGGACATCTATATCTATATAAAGTACTCTAGCATGGTATTTCAACAATTCTAAGATTGCTATTACGATATCATTAATGTAACAGAAACCAGAAGCTTCAAATTTCTTTGCATGGTGCAGTCCTCCACTCCAATTAATAGCAATGTCACAGCAATTATTATTCAGTTTCGTAGCACCTTCCAGAGAAGCACCCGTGTACATGGAGCAGAAATCAAATAATCCTTCAAAAACAGGACAGTCATCACCTACGTTAAAGTGACTTAGATATTTGGTGTATCCTTGCAAGTTTTGTGGAGTCACTCTTTGTAAAAATTCAACATACTCGTCTGAATGAAAGCGACACATATCATGGGTGCTTGCACGATATGGACGATAGATCTGCATCTTCTTATGCAAACCATAATTTAATACTAAACTGTGGATTACAGCAAGTCTGTGAGGCTTCATTGGATGTCCGGGGCCATAATGGAAATTTCCTACGTCTGGATTGTAGAAGTATGATACCTTTTTGTTATAACTCATTTTGAGGTTAGTTTTTTGGGATAGGTTATCAAAATATGCGAGTATATACTTATATAATATAAATATTTTTCCTTCATCAAACTATATTTACAACATCGTTATGAATGACAAAATAATTAAAATTCTTCAATATTTTTTGTATATGTAATAATTAGCGCTTATTTTTAGAATGTCAGAATGTAACGCTATGAGAATCAAATATCACCCAAGTATCTTTTCAGTCAAAAGATTCATCGACTAGAGTAGAACACGAAGAATTTTACGTTCAACTTCCATTGAACAGTGAACCACAATCAACCTGATAAGATTAAAAATTATAATATTAACACTTGTAATGCATGCACAAACATAACCAATTTTTACGCATCGCTCTGACAGTTTTTTTACTCCATTTACAAGCATTTGAATTCTAACTATTTTCCCCTAGATTTTGATCACGTGGTTTTATTTACCTCGCCAAATGCTAATTCATTAAACGTGACGATATTTAAAAAAACACAACAAACATATACTTTTGTAATACCTTCCCCTTTCTTTTAAAATATACTACTTCATATAATATTTACAGTAAGACGAATATTGTTGGAATTTATCAATGTTTTTCCTAAAAAATTTGTATTATTATTTTATTATTACTTATTGTTAGTTATTTATTTTTTTTGTGATGCTCGTAATTTTAAGTTCTGTTAAGCTAAGTGCTTTTATAAATATAATTTAAAAAATGTAATGTAGGCAGAAAATTATTTTACCTACTAAATATTATAGAGTACTGTATTTGGATATTTTATAATTTTTGCATTTCGCATGCATTTTGTGCATTGTGACAAATTACTATTTCTTATAAATGTACAAAAATCCGCAGTGTAATAGTGATAACCTAAAATATAATAAAGAATGTACATACATACTTATATACATTATTATACATTTTTTTTTATTAGGATGAAAAATCGATACTCTTGCAGAGAATCAAGTGGCATACTTTTCAAATTTGATCAGCTGTGAATCGAAATTTCATTGCAGTGTACAATGACTAGATCGCTCATGTTTATGAATTTTTGGGAAATTTAAAATCTCAAAAATTTACAAAATGTATATAATACATAAAAGTATCTAAAGTAGAATAGTTATTTTAATATTTAATAGATGAAATAAATTTCTATTTAGAATCTATTTCTTTAGTCATGTTCATAAAAATGTAATACTCTATAAACATCCGCATCTTAATAATGACAATTTACAAGTTAATTCTAAAGACGATGGATAAATAGGCCAATTTCCATTAATTTTCAGGATGTTTTGGAATGGATGCTGTGCCAAATTGATTTGATAGGCCGCAGCCATTCTTGTTTTCGGGACATTGGCGGTTGGCAACGACGCTTCCAACGTATTCCAAGGGATGAATCGAATACTGCAGGTTTTTTTATTATTTATCCACAGAGTGTTAATTAACATTTAAAAAGTAGTCGTTTCTATGCGTTAGAAACTGTACTTGACTGGCCAAGTAAAAACAGTTTAGAAAGTATGCGGCCGGATTCACGTAGCGTTTCGTTCACGTTTCACCGGGAAGTTCTGAATGTCAAAAATTCACCGGAGATCACGAAAAAGCTGAGACGACGCCTCCAGGATCGTTTCGAGAAGGAAAAGCCCGGAGATTCCTGTAAGGAGAAAATGTCAAAAGATAAGCAAACAGGTGACCGTAGCTGGAACAATTTAAGTCTTGGAAATATGTCAGCGGATTCTAGACGTGCTCTGCGAAGCGGAGCCGAAAAGTTATCAAAAACTATATCTTCTGTACGTACAACTTTTGGAACTATTTCACAGGTGAGATAAATTCTCAAGAAAAAAGTAATAGTAATAACTAAGTTATAGATGTTCGTGCATATTTATGTTTTGACAAATATATATATAAAACAATGGAACTTAAATAGGAATGTTTAATCTCTCTGTCTACTGCAATAAATACTTTATTTTTAGATATTTTGTATGGTTTTGTATATTATGTTCATTGCATATGTTTTATTATATTTTAATTGTCTGTGAAATTTATTTTTGTTAAATGAACACTAATAATATAATCAGGGGAAATGTCTAAAAAGTCAAAGTAAAATTCATTATCATTGCTTCTGATTTCACACCATAGTTCATATCATGATTTTCTTTTTGACATTTTAAAGTATTCCTTATTAAATATCTTCAAAGCTTATTAGCTCACTATGGTATACAATCAGAATGATTTGTTGCTTTGATGTTTGAGAGTAAATATGCAACTGCAAACTACTCATAATGCAGAAACATTCACAGTATAATAATACTCAAATAAAAGAATAGCAATATTATATTCAATAACAATATGATTGAATTCTCTAAATCAATATTATTTTATTTATTACATAGAAGTTTAAGAGTTCCACACGTAGACGTCAAAGATTGGAGGAGCAACAATCTCCAAATAGCATTTGTAAAATGCAAACTCCCCAGACTCGTTCTCGCCAGCTCCTTGGTAGAACACCAACAAAGCTTTATAGTCCTTTTGGCATAGAATCTCCAAGACATGCGTGGAACAAAGAGAACAATGAAACACCAGTGCATACTCCTCCAGGAATGAATACACGATATATCCAATGTAGGCCATTCCGTTTCACCAGAGCTAAAGGATTCTCTATGTTGAGATAAAATCTCTTTCTTTAGTTATTCTTTTCTTAAATGTTACTTGAATGATCTCTTTAATTCCCAGCAATGCATTCAGGATTGTGTGCCTTGTGCAACGTACAATTGAATTATTTATTCGATTTTAATTAAGCTAGTGATCTACTTTGACATATTTGTATCTCTCTAACATGTTATCTATGATATCAAACTACTTTACATGTACATGTAATGTATAATCTATTTATACTTTTTTATACATATTTATATTGATAATTATTATTACTGCAATATCAAATAAAGAAGAAGCATAAGGAACTCTTTAAGTCAAACGTATTAAGCAATTAATCTAAACGAGATATTTAACTTTTCAGTTATAAGATTTTAAGAAACAATAGAAATCAGCACTCCAGAAGGAACTTAACCTTTACGCGATCAACTACTGTTCACCGATATTCTTCATACAACTCGTCACATCTAATTAATTTGTATTTAATTTCTTATCTGTTTCAAATAAAACAAGACGATTAAGAACTAAGAAATCTAACTTCTACGAAACATCAACATCTAAAAGAAACTTAAGTAATCTAACCTCTACGATCAACTGCTATCAATCTTCCTACGATTCGTTACATTTAATTGTGTATTTAATTTCTCATCTGTTTCAAACAAAACATGACATGGATAAGGAGATTGTAATCGTATATTTCCCATATTCATTATTCGTGCTTTGTTTGTCGTTTATTACAAAGCGTCGCAGGTGGTAGTAACCTGAACGATTTCAACTCACTAGCGAGCGAAATCATCTGTGCAACGAATTTGCAGAAAAAATTTTCCATGGAGTGCTAGAATTGCATTTTCAAAGCTGATTAAAAAATTCGAAGCAATCTCGGAGCGGGAACCACGGTATATTTCATTATAGTTAGTGCGCACGTGCATGTTGGTAGCGCAGTCGTGAAAAAAGGAAATTTCTATAAAATGCGCCAGTGCATCCGAAAAGCATCGTGAATGCGACACGACCGATACGCGAAAATGAAAAATCGCCCGCTACGACAGAAGATGCTCTAACACTTAGTGTTATGTTTCGCGTACGCTCGGGATGGCCACACACGAACAAAACGAACGTATGCAAGGCAGTATGAATCCCCAAGCGGGGTAAGTTTCCTATTTAAACTTGATTTTCTTAGCTGAAAACATTTTACGTTGACAAAAAGATCGAAAAAATTGCTTGCTAACAATCTATTGCGTTTTATTATTCATGGAATCTATATCGAGGTTAGAAATTGTGGTCGTTGTATTTTTAATACATAAAACTGTTGTTTACATATCTTAACATTATAGTTTTATATCTTTTGAAAGTTTAGATCACATTTATTGTATTGCTGTCTCTACTTTTGTTTGGTGTATGATAATTTGGATGAAATATCGAATTCTAGATAAACCGAAGGTACGATCGTGTTAAGTTTCCCGGAAGTAGGCTTGTGGTGGTAGTGTATAATAGCGCAATGCAGTGGCTTGAGAACTTAAGAGAGACTGGATTTTTAGAATTTTTAGAATACCTACGTATATAACGAAATATTGATATTTAAAATTATTATTAGTAGACTGCGGGCTTTGATGCACTATTATATTTTTATGAACATAACTAAGAAAACAGAATTTAAATGGAAAGTTGTTTTATCTACTAACAATAAATATTATAATAATTATCCTACTTTAGATATTTTACATAATTTTGCATAGTGTATGGATTCTGCAGACCTTTGCATTCTTAAATTTCCTCCAAATGCATAGACAGCTACTAATAATTAGGTCGAAGATTTTTATGCATTTATGCAGTATTTTAAGATATAAAAATGCAGAGAATCTATGAAAAAATACCTAATATGAAAAAATACCTATATAAGTATACTGTTTTCTATATCTTCTCTTATACTTGATAGATAAAACAATTTTCTACCAAGGTTCTAGTTTTTTAAATTACTTTCTCCAAAATACGTATTTGCATAAAAATTTGCAATTTAGTTATTAGATACGTTATGTACTTATTTTGAGCAGCGTTATCGCCTTTTTCCCTTTTCTTATATGTAATATACGTATAAATAGGACAAGTATAATGCAGATAAATTCCACCGATTAAAAGAGTAACCTCGTTTCCTGAAACAAAATAGGGTGTAAAAGAAAAATGACGGTTGTGCGACCCAAACAAGAACAAAGTATGTCGGTTCTGGTTTCGTAAAATCTTACTGCGATAGGATTGTACAAGCTTTTTCAATATCACGTGAAACTCAAGCTACATAGTAAAGTCGCGCGTTACATTTGCGATGTTCGCAGTTCCTTATTGGGAGGCATTGCCAAGGTATGTTTAACAAAAATGTGTTTGCAAATTTAGTTACATATCCATACACAATATATAATAATAGTGTTCAAAGAATTAAATTTTTTGTCTTTCGCGTAGAAATGGTACATTAATTTTATTTATAAAATCGCGGCTATAATTCTTTTTAACGATTTTCTGTATTAAGTGATTATAATGAACATTAAGAACAGAATAATTTTGAAAACTAGTAGTCATAGATTTATTCTATTTAAAAATCGACGTCGAAAGAATAGAATAATGAGAGAAATTGGCATAGGCCCCGGATTCGTGTAAACATGCGCCAGAAATTTAGGCGGGATGTCCCGCTCCATGCGCATCCCCATTGTACTGGGCGTTTCATTTGTTAGGGAGTTAATATATGTACCTAGTAATACATATGCATACATGTAAAATTTCGATAATAATATTAGATCAATTGTGCAAAACGGCCCTGTACAGAGAAAATATTACAATTTTTTGTGAAAAGATTTTTGATCAAACATAACATATATTTGATATTTACATAAATTATGTCTTGTATTTTTAACTAGAACCTCTAACTTGTGAGCTTACTAATATTATTAGTTAATTGAGGTCTTGCACCATATGTATGCACTTGTAAAATTGCGTTCGTAATATCAATTCAATCGTACAAGATAGCCCCCTACAGTGGAAATATATAATCACTGTAAAAAAGTTGTTAATCAAGCATATATAATATTATTGAATATTTATATAATAATATTTTTTACTTCTAACTACAACTTCTAATTTTTAAATTTACTAATATTATTAGTACTAACGGAGAGGTATTTCCATTCTGGTACTAATAATTATAACGTGTACATAGCGTATTATAATATAATTATAATTACTATATCTAATGTAATTATATAATATATTAATAATATTAGTCGGTAAATTACTGTGCTAGAAAGGTCTTAATAATATTAGGTACAGATTTGAAATGTACCAAAGAATTGAAACACTCTGTAAGTTTGTTCGGAGTAAGAGTAGCGTAGTGGGGTAGCGTGCCGCGAGAGGGTGCCGCGCGAGGCAGGTCAGGGCTGGGGCTCAGTACGTTTGCGTACGCCGTGTCGTTCGCATCGTGTTACGTTCCTCCGCGATTCTTCGCTCGCTAACTACTCCATTTCTCTATGTATCGAGCCCTTCTCTGTGAAATCAACTGAACCACACTAAAGACCATCGACGTATGATAATCAAGTGTGTGCATTATTCGTGATGGTGCAACGATTCGCTTACATAATTGTTGGCGTGCATTAAGCCAGAGAGTTGCATATACGCGCGTGACACAAGTGAGAGTGAATGCACTGCACCTTTTCGCTGCTCTTCTCCCACTATACACGACAGTTTTTTTCTTCACATCTTCTTCCCGCTTCGGTATGTATATCTTATTTCCACACTCCCATATAACCACTCATTAAACTAAGGTTTATATCTTCAGGTCCGTCTGTCCTTTTCCTTCGCCTGCTCTGGTGCCCTCTTTTCCTCTCACTCCCTCCATATTCTGACAGCTTGGTCGATTCACGAATCTGCCGGGCCTTTTCCCCGGGCTTCTTCAAAATAAGGCCAAAGGGTTACTTTCTCTCACTCAACTCCTAATTCTGATTTCCTTCTCTCTTTTTCCCTCCATTATTTTTCTTTCTCCATCTCTTTCTAGCGTTGACTCAGCCGTTACATTACCTCGAGAGAATTCATCACTGACTCGCTAATGAATGACAACGAAATGAAGAAACGCGTTCTCAAGTCGCTAATAAAAATCGAGCACGAGCGCGTAAATAATAAACAAAACCAGACACAAGCGATCGAATACGCGGAAGTTCTCGTCAACGAAGCGTGCTCTCCTCCCCCTTTTTTTTCACAATTCGATGAACGTGCTTACGAGTAGAGAAACATTGCTACATTGAAAAATAGATACCCTCGTTCTAGGACACCTTCACGGGTACTCATTGTTAAAATCGTATTAAAATGGAGCTAATTTTTTAGTCAATTTGTCCATTCACATACACATTTATCACCTCTGTTACATTTTCATGTAAAAAGGTTATGATACATAAGCATTTTATATAGGAGTACACTAGTATTTGCATTATATCTGGAAATTGAACTATTATATGTTACTTTGGTAGCTGTTTGTTAGCTAAGTGATATCTTTCTGTTTAGTTTCACGATTGACATGCTACGTTATTGGTTTGATTTATGTTGGTTTCATTCATGGCTACTCTTGCTGGTTCCGTTTTGTCCTTACTTGCCTTTGTTTGTTTGTTTCTGACACACAGGTCTGGCATCATATACATATATGTATATATGCAGATTTATTTTCTATTTATTTTCAATTGCTTAAAGAAAATGAGAGCATTCAAAAGCGCAGACAGAGCAACGATCATGGCATTGCACGGGGAAAACGTAGTAATGATTTTGTTTATATTTTTTGTATTTGCTGACCCCATCAACGATTATGCTGGGACGTATCAGGTGGAGTACGCAGCAGTCAGAGCCACAGAACTCACAGCCAGCAACAACAGATCAACAAGAACCACAGAATCAAACGGAGAGTCAGAAAATAGAACAAGAATTTACCAAAATGACAGATCAGCGGGAGCAACAACCCCAGCCACAACAGCAGCAACAGCAACAACAACAACAAACCAAAGGCAATGAAGAACCAAGAACGAATTTGATCATCAATTATCTTCCACAGAGTATGACAGAGAAAGATCTTTATAGTTTGTTTGTAACTATCGGACCTGTGGAATCTTGTCGTGTTATGAAAGATTATAAAGTAGGTGCATTACATGAAACTATAATCAATTTATATATTTTTACAAGAATCTACATTTATCATTTTATTTTATAGACAGGATATAGTTACGGGTTCGGCTTTGTTAATTATGCGAAAGCAGAAGATGCAGCCACTGCTATAAGTACTTTAAATGGACTCCAAGTCCAGAATAAAAGGCTAAAAGTGTCTTTTGCACGGCCATCTGGTGAGGAGATCAAAGAAACTAATCTTTATGTAACAAATTTGCCAAGGTATATTATGATATTTAATATAAATTTATCTATTAGTAGATAAAAATTTGAACGTATAGTAACGATATTACATCATGTTTGTTTCAGAAATATAACTGAAAGTCAAATTGATGATATATTTAGCAAATACGGAAATATCGTGCAAAAGAACATTTTAAAAGATAAGCTCACTGGATTACCAAGGGGTGTAGCATTCGTGAGGTATGTTTCTTTCATTTTTGTAGCATCCCATTCTCAAAATCATCTAGTACTATCAAGTAGTCTTGCGAAAATGTATTACAAAGAGACAGTTCTATTTAGCATTAAAAGGCAAATTGTCATGCTAATGAAAAATATAAGCTCATACTCCTTGGCGCATTGCCATTCTTGTCATAATTAGTAACATAACATCCCAAGCTGGTAACAAACTATGATGGAAGTATTCATAGAAATGTATTCTCTATGTATTGGTTGATCAATTACATTTTTATTGTTTTCATTATACGTACACCATGTGCTTAGAAAATTGGAGCAGTTATTAATTGACAGATACAGCTGTTGATACATAGAAGACAAAAACTGCCTAGTCATTATGCAATTCGTATCCGCGCGTGTTGGATACCTGTATTTATTTTCCGAGATCTTTGGTGCCAAATTATTTTTGTACCGTTCCTCTGCCGTTTGTTTCACTTGCATAATTTCGATTTACCGACCACTGACCTAGTTAGCCATTGTGAATTGTGCATGCAACTAGATTTCTGGTTTGTTGTAGGAAAATAGTCTGGGAAGTGTGTCAAGCATCTGGAAATAGAATCGAAACTAGTTTGACAAATTTCTTAATTTTGGCAGATTTAAGGACTCGTTAACTCGTGTTCGAGTTAGCACGCTCTAGATAGTTCTTTCAATCTCAACCTCATACGTTATTACATAGATCTGGCAGGGGTTACTCGCGTCCATTGCCAAGTAAACCTTTTTGGTTGATTTTTAATGTTTGTTTCTGGTTACTGTGTCCCTACAGATTTGACAAGCGGGAAGAAGCACAAGAAGCAATCGCACGACTACACGGTACGATACCAGAAGGTGGATCAGAGCCACTTAGCGTAAAAATCGCGGAGGAACACGGAAAGCAGAAAGCGGCATACTACGCTGGATGGCAGGCTGGTTATAACCAGAGTCGAGGTAAGTAGTTTCGATTTTCTTGATAGACAATTAGTCTTGCCCGAGTTTCTTTCGTTCTCAACCTGACAGTAGAAATTATTTCCTTGAAGAACAAATTGTAAAAATACAAATTTCATAAAGAACGTTATGTATTATAAATCTTAATTTGTGAATAATTATGATATTTGATTTTTACTGACAGGTCAGATCTGCATTTTGGCTTTCTATGAATCTTACTAAAATCGCAGTAAACCATTGTTTTGTTATCGGCATATTGTTGAACCGTAGAAGCACTAAGATTTTGAAAGATCATTTTTCCATAGAACACATCTCTATTTATTCCTGTCTCTATCGTTTTCTCTCACTTTTTCCTTAGTTCCTGATTTTTTCAAATTGTCGTGTTAGTTTTCTCCGTTTCTTTTCTTTTTCTTGCGATGATACGCGCGTAATTGCGAGAACAGAGGGTAATGGTCATTGTAACAAATTTTGTAACGTAGTTGCAAGGTGTACAAAATTTCTATGTCTATCTGAAACACGTTGTCCAGGATGCGAATGATCTCTTCTAATTTGAAATTTTTCTTCGAAAGAGCGTTCGCATCATTGACGGCGTGTAAATGTGAGATCATGTCTAACATTTGAATTGTTTGCCAGATATGGCTGCATCTAAATCAATGTACAGCGAAGATTGAAAATGCTGTTTGCGTTCTAATGCGCGCAACGAATAATGCAGCAGATTCTCTGCGAATGTGTGGAGACACGTTTCTTGTCGCGCCTGTTTTGTTTCTCTGTGTTCTTTCTGTTTTTGTTACAAGTTTTTTTGACTTTGTGCGCATGAGATTGTTTCACGTGAAATTGAAAAATAAGAAAAGAAAGAAAAAGAAAAAAAAAAAGTAAGAAACATAGAAGATCTCTTCTGACAGTGGTGTTCAGTTGATGAAAGAATGAAAAATCTCCTTGCAGACGGACCCAAAAGACAGTATTAATGAAACAGACAAGAATGCAAACATGTAGTGTCGCTGTGATAGAAATGTTTTTGTGTGTGATGATCTTTAGTGGACAAAAAGCAAGAAATGAAAAGAAAAAAAAGACTGAAATATGTCGTATCCTGCTAGAATCAGTGGCAGCTTGTGATTATTGAAAGAAAAAAGAGAAACACTCGCTAAGTTGTATTCTGCACACAAGGCTGGTTTTTTAGAAGTTTGTTTTTTTTGGACATTGCCTGGTCAACGAAATTGTAACTCTGTTTTTCTAGTTGCCGATGCTGCTGTTACTATGTTGATTTTGCCTCATCGTTTCTCAAATTTGTTCAAACCATGCTATGGAGCATCATCCTAGTTCTATACATTTTTGTGTCAGCAAATTATTGTATAATTATGTACGTCTTTAAGCTGTTTTTTGTACTTTCTTTTGGTAAGACATACCGTTTCGTATTACATATACATATATGTTTTGTTACTTATTTAAGACTTTGGAAATACATTTTCTGTTTAAGAAGATATTTGTTGCTTCCTCTTATGATCCTTCAATGATGAACGTGCGTGCGAGATACTTGTTTTTTTTCTTTTTATGTCTTTCTAATTATAATTAATTAGGGCTTAAGGTTTTTTTAAAACACAAGGAAATATGTATGTTCAAAGGAAATATGTACGTTCTGAGTAGGATTCTTCGTAACACAATGTTTTGCGATTTGTTTATACACTGCTCAAAATGAGAATATTTTTGAAATAATATCAGAGAACTACATAAATTAATTCATCAAAAGAATATTATGTTCCCTGTAGAAAAGAATTTGGAGCAGTGTATAAAGCACGCAGCTCTCCTGTCACATAAGTTGTTGTATGCCTGCGAATAATTATTATTTAATGAGCGTCGTTGCTAATCTATGGTTAGTTCTGGACAGATTGCATTTGCAGAAACGTGTGGCTTTGACAGAAAACTTGCTCAGTGCATGGCTGTGTCCTCTTTCAAGCGATTATCATATACAGTAGTGGACAGATGTATTTAGATAAATAGTTTCCTCTTCATACCTGACATTCCATCATATTTAAAGGTCTAAGTCTAATTTACTAGGTGGATAATACGCAAATTAAATGGACATAAAGAATTTTTAGGCTTACAAGTGTTGCACTGTCCACCTATTTTAATGAAACTATTTGTCCAACTGCATTTGTCTCCAAGTGTTTCGTATAACTCTTTAACATGAATCATTTTCATTTCTATGCTCGCCAATCCACAAAGGAGAACGTCTGTACCCAACCAGGAATAAATACCAGCGTTATGCGCATTACCTTTATTAAAAGAAGAACGCAATTTCTTGTTTGGTACTCGTTGTTACCCTTGCAGTTATGATACTATGAATTCCTATTGGTGTAATGAGATTGGCATGATTAAGTGCGCTTAATACCAAGCACAATTGTTACTACCGTTAATTGTAACTGGAGAAAACAGATTCTTAGTCAAGAGGAACAAACTGTTGCTTTCTGATTCAATATTTTAGGATTAATTCTTTTTTTCTATGTGAATCCTAGCTTTATTCGACTTTGCTTTTGTATTATAATAACAAGATGTAAAGTTCCTCAGGCTTAAGCCTGATCTTAACACAAAGCACAACTGTTTGTAATTCAATAAACAACCACACAATTTGCTCAACGAATGTAAACGAGTACTTTGTAATCTATCAGGCAAGAAGTCTGTGGTTCGAAGACTCTCCTCCAATAAAGAGGAGCTTTACGATACGGTTTTACTGCTAGCAGAGTTTGATTTAACACTTTGACACAAAATATAAAAGACACTCATTAATTAATCTTATATCGTATCAAAGATAACTGCTCAGAAAGTTGATTAACTGTGTTAACAATGGATAGTAGTGTCCAATATTTTGATGGTCAATGTGTTGAACAAGAAAAAAGAGGACGTTTCTGGGTTTTACTTAGATAGAACTATTAAGAATTAACTATTAAGTAAAACCAGTTTGACAACTCTGAATAGCTAGACGAGTCCTTCCTTGCAAAGGTTGCACAATTTTTACGACTGTCCGTTAATCGATACTTTGTTCATTGTGTTCACTGATATCGATTTCTCAGTGGACTGTATAGATAGTAAATATATATTCATATATATATATATATATGAATATCAGTATATTCATTCATCCTGTAAGACGAATCGCGACTATTTATTCTCATTAGATAAATTATACCTCGTCTTGTAAAACTAATGGATGAAATTTGCCGACGAAAATTGTCTTTCTAAAGATAATTCGAACAGTAGACAAGCGAATAGGCTTGAGAAGAAGCATTGTATTTGGTGATATGTCGTTGCTGAAGCAACAATATTGAACGAAAGGAAAAATGGCAATCGTCCTTTCGAATTGATCGCCATTTTTCCATGTTATAAGGTTAAACGATCTTCGCTGTTACTAACTTTCGTCCTTTTAATGCTAAATACATAAATATAAATATATATTATATATATATATGAATCGGTCGAGAAAAAATGGTGAATTTCGAATTAGCTAGAATATATGAGAAACACACGTATCTCCTACGACCCTGACAATCGTTCCTTTTTTTAGTCGACTTTTCGCGACTGTTCGAAGTATAATTATGACGTGGACGCTTTCGATATATGGTCCGTATTGACGTTAGAAAATAATAGATCTCCCTTGGTAGGAGGTACGATTCATCTTGCTCCTATATTAATAACACGTTCAGGTGCATGATCAAGAACGGGAGTGCATGATCTTTTTTCGCTTGAATAAATTGTTTCTTTATTTACACAAGATTCAAATTTATTTATATAAAATTATATATGTTATAAAAAATTGAAATTGTAATAATAATGTGGATGATTAACATAAATAAATATGATTAGTATTGAATAGTCTGTAGAGAAATGATTAGAATGGTTGGCTTCTCAGTAAGTTAGCTTAGAGTTCAGTTTCTGCAGATTAATAAGACATTTTTCAATTAATTTTTTCAATTATTATTATTCAGATGTAATGTACTTGATAAACATAAGATATGATTTGACTAGCGAGAATGAATTTAATTAAATTAAAATGAGTTAATAAAAATCTGGAAAAAGCTTGAAAAATGAAAATAATAATCAAAAGAAAGACAGACTTTATACATAGGATTATGCATTCCCGATCGACGAAAAATTTGGGATTTAGAAAATAGAAACTCTTTAGGAATTTAATATTGCGAATGCGCTGGTATTTGAGCCCTTTGCACACAATTGCGTCTGTTGTAAAATTCCTATCGCTGCGAAATTCGAATTAAAGAACAAGTAAAAGACAGACGGATCGGTCGCTGCGATAGGGCTGAAAAAAGAGGAATGGTAAAAAAATAGGAAGCTGGGATAATTTAACACCGAGAATTTAATTAGTACTTAAGTTAGTCGGGTTAATGAGTAAGATTTTCAAATATTCCTTTAGAATATATTCATGTTATGAAATGATCTCACGTTGTTCTTTCCAAAAAAGAAAAAAAGAAAGATGAAGAAACCGAAAGAAAAAAGCATTTGAGAGGAATAAAAATCAAAATGGAGATTATTTCAGAAAGATATAAAAATTCCCTAGGAACTCTGGTAATAACAATAAAATTTAAAAAGTAGAAACGATCGTTCCCATTGTCGCAATAATATTGAATGAGAGCAATAAAAATGATTACGTTTATGGATGAAAGAACGACGCGAGTGTCCAGTGTAAATAAATCGAAATTCTAATTTTTAACTTAACATGTTAAGTAGTAAATTGTAAGGTCTAACGGATCGAAGATTGTGCGAAAATGGTTATAATCCCGAAGTCTAGTAGTGCTAACGATGGCTGTGATATGGAATAAGGAAATAACTAACGAGAGAATGAATAAAAGAAAGAAAGAAGTGGAGTATCCGGGATATACAACGGATAAAAGCTTACTTCTCTTTTCCTCGCTCTCTTGCTTTTTCTCTTCTCTCTCATTCTCTTCTTCTTGAGTCGAAAAATCACCAGAAAAATTCATCATCCAATTCCTATATTAAAAGTTTCAAAAATTTATTCAGAACACGTGAAAATATTCCTCTAGAAAAATTGTAATATGTGGAATTTGAAGTAAAAATTGGGAAAAAATGTCGTAAGAATTTATCATTTATCTAGAAAGATTTTTACAGAGTAACTTGAGAGCGACGAAATTGGAGGGGACAGAGAATTATGTCTCGGTTGAAAATGCCTGCGACATTCCCAATAATATATTCATCATCGTATTTTTCTTTTTCTTCTACCGAAACGAATATTTAAAAAAAGGAGAGAAAATCGAAAAAACACGGTTATGCGATCAACGTTTTACTGTAATTAATTGATCTCACTTTACCGAAAATTAGATTCGATTCTAGCGTTTAAAATGATCGACATATTTGCAAGATGCAGAGTGAACCGGAAGTGGCGCTATCATCTGCAAAATAACGCCCCCCCTCCCAACTATTTAGAACTGATCGTAATTACCAAACACAATTTTTCTCTTGTAATTCATTGTTTTAAGCGGAGAAGATATTTCTAACATAACCTAATTAAGCGTTTCTTTTCGATTTCCAGTTCACTCTGCGCATCTGTAAAGAGACACACGCATACATGATACACACACAGGACACGTTACATTGATATAGTAGAGAACTACAACTATGTGGTATATGGGTAGACTAAACGACAATTGTTGTACGAACATTTCCATTTAAGAAAACGTGTGTTCAACGCACGAAATACGTGCGTCGAGTCGTATCGAGAAACTGGCCTAACAACATACTTATGGCTTTTGTGCTGATGATATCCCACTTATCCAATATAGTTGATTCCGATATATCATCAATAGACTGCGGATTTTTATTCACTTATGGAAGATTTGAAGGTTCAAACATGCACACCATGCATATAATATGCAAAAGTATCGGGCTACCTCGTAAGTAACACAGTTTTTCTGACAATTAAGTTTAAAAGAATGAAAATTGTTACTACTGAAGTTTTATAAAATTGAGATAAAAAGCTTCAGAAAAAGATAAAGAATTATAAGAAATAAAATCATACTGATTAACTGTACTGGTCAATTGCCATCATGCAATGTTTTATTTTCATTTAGTATACAAAAATTAGCGACCATATTACTTATGAGATGGTTTAATATATAGAATATTCGTATTTAAACGCTAATTAAGCAGTACAGTATTCATTATAATATTTAGTACACATTTGAAACAAATTTCCATTTAGGTACCATTTCTTTAGTTATGTTCATAAAAATCCGCAGTCTAATCATCATTATTACCCCACTCAACAGAGAGGATACTTGAATTGCTTGAAAAAGAATAAACGAACGGGAATCATAGTCATCATCAGGACAAAACACGACAAGTTTGCTCGAGATTTTTTCAGACACGCCCCCCGCATAAGTATCTCATACCTTTCTTATTCCTTGTTGCTACACGGGTCTACGTGATTCTGTAGTCGCTCGTTAAATTTGATTAAAATGATTAGAAACGAACAATCAGCATCTGTCCACTTTATTCTATACACCATCTACCTGTTTATGTATATTCTCGCCGGTTTCCTTTAGAACTATTCCATTCTTAACCTGGAAATTAAAAGAAGAATTTTCATTTCTAAAAAAATTATCGATGATACTGATTAGTGAAATGTTTTCAGGTGCTGGAGGCGGCCTGGGAGGTGGAGGAAGGGGCAGGGGAATTGGTGGACCACCAGGAATGGGCATGGGTATCAGTGGAGGTGGGCCAGGAATGTTAGGAAGAGCGGGAGGTGGTTTCGGGCCGCGTGGCGGGCCACACAGCAGTTTCCTCGGCGGAAGTGGCGGCCCTGGCGCCATGAGGATGGAAAAGATACACCCACATCGCTTCAATCCTATCGGTATGGGCGGCGGCTACGTGCAGTCCCACTTCTGGTGACCTAGCGTCGTCGACGACCTGGCTCGCAAGACAGCACCGACTATGTATCTTTCTTCGTCCGACCGGAGACCAAGCAGCGACGACCGTTGTCGTTCGTAACTCTGCCGAATAAGCATACGTTACCCTCGAGCGATCGTGAAATCAAGGAGACACCATGAAGACGCAACCAGGATCGATAAAAGGCTGCTTCGATTAAACAGTATAGAGACAAAAAGACACACAGGGTATAACTTGAGCAGCCTAGCGTCCTTATACTACGACTTCCCTCATATGTCTCCAACGACGTTCAGCTCGAGATGCTTGAGGACTGACTGATCAAGGATGTGTAAATTATTACGCATAGTATTTAATGTTTCTACGTGCCTGTACCAAAGCTCAGAACACCTAGTATTGTACATCCGGCGATGGGTGTTCAGTCGTTTGACTTTGTTAAAAGAACGTCTCTCGAGGTCTTGCATATCGCCGAAGATGTTGTCTTGAACGCTTCGAAACTGTGTGTCCATTCGAAGCCCTCCAAATAACGTAAATAAGTAACGTAACATAATCATGAGTGTTTAACGAGGTTAAAGATCGTAATTGTTGCATTGTGTCGCCATCAGTTTCTGCTAATTATTTTGTTTCGAGGTATTCAAGAGTCGCTAGAAGGAATAGCGCGAACATTTCGGAACGATATATATCAGAAAGAACGTTTGATGACGATAGGAGGAGAGTATGATGCTGGACCCATCGCTATTTCTACGTCGCTTTTTATCGTTAATATCTTGTCCCTCTTTTCCGTATCTAGCTTTAATATCTTCGTTCCATTGTGCGTTTAAATTAATTGGCGTTCATTACCGCCGACAAAATGATGATCCTCGAATGTTTTATTGCGTTAAGGTACAAAGGGAAAGCTAAAAAATGAAAGAAAGAACAAACAGGAAAAAGAACGTTTGGTTATCGAGTCTGTGCCCATGTTACGCTGAGCTTGGTCGAGACTCGGTAACAAAGTTACGTTGTGCTAAATTAGCTCTGTTATCACACCTCTGAGACCGTTGATAGACGAATTCTCGTGAGATTCTATCTTTCTTGCATTCGAAATGCGAACGCGATGCGAACAACCCTTTTATCCTGACTAACATTTAAGGAGATTGTTGTGAGGTATACTGCAGGCTAAAATCCAAGATGTTTTCAATAACGGACAGCAAACTGAACTGGTACTCGATACTTTGAAACTGTTCATATCAACTGTTTCAATTGCAAATAGTCTTGCAATGATTGTTTCAATTAAGTTCTACCTAATCTTACATCTTTTACTCGAGTCCTGTAAACATATATTTTAACGAATAGACTGCGAATATTCAGGCATTTATGGAAAATTTATGAATGCAAAGATACACATAATAGGCGAAAGTATATAAAATGTCAAGAGTAGTACTCAAATGAAATTTCTGTGTAGAATCCATTTCATAAAAATTTGCATAAATATTCGTAGTCTATTAATGAATTCTTACCTTGCTTAACACTTAATCAATCGCACGCGCCACAGCGAGCTATGCGTTTCTCACCGTAATGGACAAGCCAACCTATACGCTGTCTATCGCGCATTTTTCCAAATAACGTGGACTATTATTCACTACTTGAAAAACAAAGAAGTCTAGAAATTATTTAAGTGGTCAATTATATTTTACGGTAATGATTTTGTTTAATGATTTCACATATTGTTTATATAAAACATCAAATTAAGATTACATATTGAAAGTATAAAAAGATATAGGTAAAATTAAGAACATTAAAGATGACTGAAGATAAATAACACGACTTGAACGTGAAATTAAAAATTCATAATGTATCTTAATATTTTTTTATAGTATGGTATCATTCGATTATAACTTTATCTAGTCATAACTGATAGCGTAACTTTTTAATTAATTTTAACACCACTAAATTGGTGTATTTTATTGTATACTGTACTTTATAAAAGCAGAAAAAGTGGCGCAATTAATTGAGAACAATTCCAGGTAAACAATAATTGATCACAACAAAAAGAAAAAAGAAAACACGTTATTAAGGTCAAAATGAGAAAGCTCCCCGTTCGGTTATCAGCGACGTATTTTAAAATGGGGAGATCTCCCTATTCGGTTGGCTAAGTGTTAAGCTAACAAACATAGATGATCAAGTACCTGTTGATTATTTTGCTGTAATCCTAATCAAGTACCTGCCATTAAACTGAATCTTTGCAAGTTTGTTAACAAGTCAGATAATTCTTGTATTTTTGGCCAGCAGAGTGCCTCTTATTGTAGTTCAATTTGAATAAGGATATACGATACTCGTGAAACAGTGTTTCTCTTAGCTTTGATCAGCTTCACGATCGCTCGAGTGCTATGAATGCCAGCCAGAGGCTGGCTAAACCAGAAGCCTCCTTTTTCCTTGATAGTTGAACGTTTTAATACTTTTAAATGAGGAGGAAACGGGAGGCACGTTGAGGGCAGAAGCTAAGAGTTCTACGTGTTGTTGTACATTTTTTTTTTAATGGTTCTAACTCTTGAAACTTTATCGAAGGTTTAACGTTAAGAAAAAGAGTTTTTATCGGAGTCAGCGTATAAGGAAACTGTGTTTCCTACGCTCCGAATGGCATTGGACCACGGTGGTTGCGAAATAACTTTGTTGAACGAAGCCTTTTAGTTTCATTTTCCTCCTAGAACTCCGGCAAAATATTGAAAAACAGCTTAGCTTATTTTTGTATGATTAAGAATATGATCCGTAGATCGTCATTCTTATACGTAGATCGTTATACTTAAAAAGTTCCAAAAAAAAAAAAAAAAAAAAAAAAAAAGAAAAAAAAAAAAAAAAAAAAAAAAAAAAAAAAAAAAAAAAAAAAAAAAAAAAAAAAAAAAAAAAAAAAAAAAAAAAAACAAAAAAAAGTTATACTTAAAAAGTTCCAAAAAAAAAAAAAAAAAAAAAAGAAGAAAGAAAGTGCAAAGCACCACCGTTGTCCACAGTATCGCCGCAAATTGTACATAACTTGTAATTGAAATTACGTCATTATCACGGCACGTCGTAGACAAAAATGAGACTGACTTTTTATAGGTGACAAATTTTACGCGAACAATTTTAAACATTGAAATTGCCTTATTATTATCGTCGCAAAATAATCGCTAAATCTTTCTTTTTTTTCTTCTACGTTCTTATTTCTCATTTCTTCTTCTTCCTCTTTGTTTTATTTTTTTTTTTCTTTTAAATTAATCGCAGCGAAGAAACGGAGCTAATCCATTTATAGTTGCAACTGCATTCACCGCGGGCATAACAGACATTGCACTTTATATTATTCGATGACGAACATGTAATCTCTTTAAAAAAAAAAAGGGGAAAGATTGCTATCACGTTACATAGGAAATTGTTTTACTTTACCGTCGGAATCCTTAGAATTTCCGTAATCGCTAATGTCATTTTGTTAACAACATTCATACGATCACATACTCTCTTTCTCTCTCAGTCTTTCTCTCTCTCTCTCTCTTTAATTGGTAGTTATATAAGAACTAATTATTTAAGACGAAATAAAATGTCTGTAAAAAAAGAAATATGGAGAGCTCTGCTGGTTGTGTGTTTGTTGATAGAGGACGAGAAAAAAAAACAGTCAGCAGATTGTTCAGAATGCATGATTATTTATTGTGGTCGCCTAAAGCCACGACTTACCACTTTTTTTCTCGTTTTTCTTTTTTTTTTATTTCTACACCCATGTACAAAGAACAATGAAAAAAAAGTTCAGTAATTGTTAACGACGTGAATGAAGAGAAGAAAAAATGTTCACTGATGCGATTCACTGAGTACGGTGTTGCCCTTCAAAAGGCAGCTTGCGTTTGTAAAGCAGCAAAGTGCCCGATGACGAGCCGCAACGTAGCCAGTTCAGGATCATTTCCACAATTCCAGAACACTCCTTGTGACAATACTGCAAGTAAATGCAAATTATTCCCCATTCAATGCCCAATTGTCACTGTTCAAATTCCAGATTCAGACTTAAACACTTTTACATGCTATGTAGAATTGATTTTTGTCACATTGTACACAGTAACACTGAGATGTTGGAAGAAGGATCAGAAACAAAAATCAGCTTGGTCCATGATGTACATTCTAGGGAGATTGTCTTTTGACTGAGTGTTCTTGTGATTCGAGCAGGAATTTTATAACTGTTCAACTTGTACACCCACAGGATGCTGCGGTTTAGAGATTAGCCCAGCTACTTGCAAAGAGGAAACAGGAAGGGGCGGATAGCTGCACAAGATACAACTTTTGGTAGATTTATAGCTAAGCACAACAAAAGACATGGATATTTCTTTCTTCATAAATTCCAGGCTGAAATAAATAAAATGTACAATTTTCTGCAATTCTTCCTACGAGTCTCCTGTCATCAGATATTGGATGAAATTATATTTGGAAGTTTGATATGTATGTTAAGCCTATAAAATGGCATAAATTATAGATAACATTCTCTAATTTAAACCTGAATCTAAATATTTCAAAATAAATATTAAATGAACGCTCTTAGAACAATATCTGCAATATAAATCAATTGTTTTTTCAACTTTTTTCAATAATCCTATTACCACAATTAGTACCAATTAATATCCAGATATTTAATTCACTGAAAACACATTACAGAAACCATTAAGGAACCTGGGTTAATAACCTGAAGCAACCTGAACCTGCAGGCCTCCTAAGAACCAAATTATCCAATCCATTCTGGATCTTCTTCGCAACCCTGCTAATCAAGAACTAGGTTAATCTAAATTGAAGAGGACCTCCTCGACAACTTTTCTTTCCTATATGAAAACGTCAACTAGATGAACATCGTTCGTCTAGGATCGATATAAAATGTTGATCAAAGTGATTTGAAGAGTAAGCCCTAGCATGGTAAGCGTCCTTTGACACGTGCAACATTTAAGGGTAACTCAGAGTCACTGGTCTCTCTCTTGACACGATTACAGAGAATTTTTCTAGTTTGTTAGCCATGATTACCTTCATCCCTTGACCTGAAGCGTTTTCCCTCCCCTCGTTTTTCTGCTTGCCTCTTTTTCCCTGGGCAACACCCGCGGAAAGCCGGCAGCACTCCCCAGCTCGAAACGCTGCCGTCGGCTGGCATCAAGTGAAACATGAACATCTGCTTCACGCATGGTGAGGATGAGTGTTCCACGTGTTGCTGTATTTTTTCTTCCATTATCTATCTTTACATGAAAGCTCTAAGAAAATTTTGAAACTTAATATTAGACTTAATTTTACTGAAGTAAAGATTCAATTAGATTATAATTTCTTCGATAATCTTTCCAGCTAAGTAGTGCAACACTGTAATTTTTTGAGATGAAATTGAATTTGATTTAGCATTAGCAACAAGAAAGATTTTGACATCAGAAAGCATGTTTGAGTTGTCAATAAGAGATATGAAAAATGAGAAGAATATTTTCATGGTATGAAAATAATTTTAATAGTAACTGAAAAGAGAAGAGAAACGAAGGGAGAGATTAGCAACAAAGAAGTCTTTTCTTTCTTGGTAGCTAAACAACGTAGTCTGTGGTCTTCAGCATCATCGACTTCTGTGCTCACAGAGCGAACGATTGCGCAATCATTAGGGCCACGTGAGGCCTTTGAAATGCATTCAGTCGACCCGCTTTGACAGGACCACCTGGAATGTTTTTCTAGTAGACCGATAACAACCTCAGCTGCCTCGAGTTCACAAATAATTGAATCACAATACATGGAACAACTACGTTTTGATCGAATTAATGGAATTAAAAGAAGTAATCTAAGAATTATTTAATCTATCATTTAATTTAAAAGCGAAGTTCGTTCTTTTAAAAACACAACTTCCGAATTATCTTATTTTCTTATTATTATTAATTTTTAGATCTGTATATTAAATCGTGCTAATTAGAAATATGATTTGACGAAGAATTTGCATCGCAATACACTTGGAAGTTTACAATAGGGGTCGTAAAAATGAAAAAAATTATTTGAAGAAAATGAAACCAGAATACGGAACCTGGTCTAACAACTGAATTCTCAGTCGGAAACGCTTTGAAGATTCCCTGGCAGAGCGGAACGAGAATCTTTCCGAGTAGTATTATTGTTGTGACCCAGGATGACTCATACACGTTACGCTGTATGTAGTTGATTTTTCTCGAGTGAATCAACAAGCTAGCGTCGATGCACCGTGCTATACGCTTGAGATCACTTTTCAGCGCAACTGAGAATGTACGTACATATTATGTACTGCCAATATTTAATTTTTATTTTGAACGATCGTTTCTAAGTTGCATGAACTGTGTCAAGTTAATTCAAGTCACACGTAATCGGTTGGAAATAAAAGGAGCCAAAAAGGAATATTAGAAGTAACGTAGCCAGTTGAGCCAAGCCTTGACCTGTCTGGAAAGTCCATTTGCATTCACGTTATAATTACTGTATGTGAGACAGCTGTGACATCCGGAACCATATCGAACAATAACTTCATTGAGAGCCTTTGAATTTCTATTTTAATCGCCGCTGTTAGATTACCATTCAATTCTAAGTATTGTGAAACTGAAGAGAAGTTTAATATTACCTTTGAAATCCTAAATTGCTGAATTTGAATCTGTAGCTTTTACTACATATAATAGCTTGGATTATCAATAGATAGATATCTATGATTCTTTTAAAAATTGACAATACTTAAAATCTGTTAAATTGTAATGAACTATGCGATCTAAATATCAGATACAATTAAGGAAGTTGAATTACATGTATTGAGACGTAACTGGAGGTGTTAGAGATGAAAATCAGTTGATCCAGGAGATAGAACAGCGGCCCATATCCGTGCTTCATGGAACACCCGATAGATCAGCTTACCAAACACGCGTGGCCCACAAAAAGATATTCGTTTCCGCCCAGCGCGATATCCACGGGATCACAGGAAGGTTACAATAGCAGCTTTCGGACACTATCGTATTAACGAATACGTTTTCTTCAATTTCGTTCTACAAGAATTATTAGACCGAACTAATAACTAATAACCTCTTCTTCTTTACATAAACAATAATTAAATGATTAAGAGGACAGAAACTGAAACATAAAACTGAACGTAAATAGAGACTGCATCAACACTACACGGTCTGAAACGGTTTGAACCAGTTTTGTTGAGTGAGAAAACGTGCGAAATTGATGAAGACACAATGTACTATAGCCATCCAGCACGATGTCCCGAGGGCGACTGAACAGTGAACTTGATTTGCAGAACAGCTGCGGAGAAGGGAGGATTCCGAGAGAAAGAAACACGTGGTGCGGTTCTCCGAGTGAAGAGGGGACATTTGGACGCGGGATGCGTGGCTTCTTCTCTGTTGGCCGGCAAATGTAATTGCTAAGTGGATCGCCATGTGAATTTTGACCGCATTAATTTTAGTGCCAATGCCACTTTCAGACCTGCAACTCTCTTAATCGGTTCATCGATATTGTCTTCACACTCCTCGCAAGTAAAACTGGTTGCTGTTAGGTAGGAAATACGTATGCTCTATTTCCAGAAGCGTTGAAAATACTGTTTGTAAATAATTAGTCAAGTATCAAAGGGATTTACCGTGAACTGGAATCTCTATTCATAGTAATTAGCGATTTTGATAGTTGGCAATCCATTATATTTCATTTTTAACGCTATTAAAGGCTTCATTTGTAATAATTAAATAACTTAGTTAGGGATATTTATTATAATATTTAATAGGTAACATAAATCTCTATTTAGATTCCGTCTCTTCACGTACATTTGTGAAAATACAAAATTATATATATATTGATATAGATCTACTATATTTAATTTTTAACACAATGAATTTGAAAATAAAATTTTAAAGGAAGTAGAGTAGGAAAAGCATTTAGATATTGGTTAATGTCTGATCAGAGGACACATTTCCATTGAAAATGTATCAACGTTTTGAAGTTGTTCAGAACCTACCTAAAAGGGGAGAAAAAAGCGTAGATGCACGGCGGAAAAGTAAGATAAACAGAAGCATGTGGAAGAGAGAAAGCAACGGGGATTGGGAAAGGGTCAGGGGGCAGCGTCCTGAGGTGAGGGAGCAGAGCCGGGTCAGAGGAAAATTTGCATTTCCTGTTCACGATGAATAATGCCGCATGGAAAACCGTAGTTGGTCAGTCGTCGAATTAATTCAATAATCCTCGAAATTTCAATGAAAAGGCTATTCGTTTCGAAAGCCATGGAAAAGAAATCGTGTTCGTGGTCGTCGGAAAGAATTTCACCGGCTATTCATTTATGTAACACCTTTATTGCACTCATAGTATTTTTTATATTCTTCTTATTCACTATATTCTTCATGTACTTATCTCTCTTTCTTCTTTAAGGATATAAAATAATTTCTGGAAGCCAAGGACTATCATAAATTCATACCGAATGGAATTCTTTTTCTGAAACGAGATGTAGAAAAGGATGTGACCTTGTAACTAGTATTCTAAAGCTATTTCATGGGGTTGCTTCAAATGGATGAGGAGGAGGAAGTGGGAGATGGAATGTTTATGAGAACAGCTGTTCCTGTCCTCGGGGTTGTTGACCATCCATACACCTACTTTCGTAGAAGCCTTTTTATTAGTAGGTGGATCTTCAGGTACACAGAAGCAACACGGGTCCATTAACTTCGGGGAGTTTTTCTTCCTTTATCTTGAAGCTGTCTGTTCTTTGTGACTCGAGGTAATCCTAAACAGAATCTTCGTCTAGGATGAATTTATCAGTGGATAAAGGGATTAGGCTTTGTTTGAAGAAATTTTTAAATAATAATAATTTTAATAAAAATATTGAAATTGAAGACTACGCGAAAAAAGATTACAAGCTTATTTTTCTTAATTTTTTCAATTTTATAGTATTTGATGGATAAAGAAAACTATCTTAATATAAAAGTTAAAATAGGAAATTTGATAAAAACAAGAGGATGGAATATAAGAAAAGAAAGACATTTAATTGTATAAGAGGCAATTTATATATCTGTAATAACTTATATAATCCACTTTGTTAATACTTTGTTATACAACTAAACAGAGCCATCTGTTAATAAGCAGCTTAGAATCAATCTTAACAAACATTTTGTAACAAACATTCTATCTCTTATGATCATTGAAAGAAATGATTCTCTGAGAATATAGATCAATTGACGAAAAAAATGAATTATCTGAGAATATAGATCAATTGACGGAAAAATGAATTCTCTGAGAATATAGATCAATTGCTGAAAAAAAAATAGATGGAAAGATCTTAGAAGGAAATAATGGTATAACGGCCAACTACTCACAGAAATGGAGCACACTTGTCTCTATACAAAAAACCACGTCGGAGCATCTGGAGTTTTGAAAGAGGGACTAGAAGGGGCTTGTGTAAAAACTGTTTATGTAGCTCGCTTGCGTGGGAGCAAGATTTTGCTGTTTCTCAAGATGAGAAATCTTGATTATCTTGTGACTCGATGATTATCTTCTAAACTCGAAAATATCAAAAACATTTAAAAAATATATGAATAAAAAAGGATACTAGAATTTACAAATATATATTGTTGGTGCATAAATTATGAAACATAAAGGTGCAATAAAAATAGATAAAGCTAATAATGACGTCTTCTAATATTCTATAGTAACGGTCTTCGTTTTTAAGTATTCGTTCAAAGCGTCTTGACCCAGGTCCTTGCCAAAACCAGACATTTTGAAACCACCAAAAGGTGCAGCCACATCTGTCTTGTTATATGTATTGATAAACACTGTCCCAGCTTCTATTTTCTCAGCAAATCTTAGAGCCTTGCTGATATCCTTTGTTAAGATACCTGAAGCCAATCCGTACTCTGTATTATTGGCCCTGGCAATCATATCATCCATGTTCTTCGAGCTGAACTTGGAGATAATCATGATAGGGCCGAAAGATTCTTCGTTTGCTATGTACATGTCGTCCTTGACATCTATGAAGATGGTTGGCTCAAAATACCAGCCTGGGCGATCTAATCTCTTTCCACCATAAACTAGTTTAGCTCCTTCTTCAACTCCACGTTTCACAAAGCTTAAGAGCTTATCCATATGTGCTTTGTGATTCTGTGGTCCATGGGCGGTGCTTCTATCTAGAGGATTTCCTATAGAGATCTTCTTAGTCTCCTCCACTACCTTCCTCACGAATTCGTCGTGAATTGTCTCTTCCACAAATAGCCGACCTATTTAAAAGAAAAGAAATTTAGTCATTTTTAAATTCTAATAACGTTTTTGTAAGAACATTTATTTTTTTAATTATTTGAATACTATACCAGCAGCTATACAATTTTCTCCCTTGTTGAAAAACACACTGCTCATTCCAATTTTAACTGCCTGTTGAAGATCAGTATCTTCAAAGATAACTAAAGGACTCTTTCCACCTAGTTCTAAAGATACTTTTTTCAAGTTACTGTTAGCACAACACCTCATTATGGACTGTCCAACCTGTGTAGACCCAGTGAAGCCTAGTTTCCTTACCAGAGGATGTTCACAGATAGCGTTTCCAGTTTCAGTACCATTCCCTGGTACAATATTAACAACTCCAGGTGGGAAACCAGCTCTTATAGTTAGCTCTGCGAATTTCAAAGCTGTTAAAGGTGAAGTTTGAGCTGGTTTCATTACTACAGTATTGCCTGCTGCCAGGCAAACTGCCATTTTCCAGGAGAGCATCATGAGAGGGTAATTCCAAGGAGTAACCAGACCACAGACACCAATGGGCTCCTTTCTCGTGAATGTTAAGTTGCGATTTGGCCTGGCATGAGTTATTGGTATGGTGGAGCCTTGGATTTTGTCACAGCAGCCAGCAAAGTACCTCCAGGTCTCTATGGACATTCCTATATGGGTCTTCAGAGCCAAAGTATATACTGCACCGGAGTCTATACTTTCAATGGTAGCTAGTTCTTCCTTATGTTCCTCCATTAGGTCTGCTAATCTGAAAAGATGTTGAATATTATAAAATAAATTATAAAATAATAACATTATAATAATGCATTAAATTATAGGATAAAGATGTACCAGAGGAAACTTTGGAAAATATTTACTTGAAAAGAAGAGCTCCACGCTCCCTGGCGCTGATCTTGCTCCATTCCCCTTCTTCAAAGGCCTTTTTGGCAGCCTTAACTGCCTTGTCCACATCCTCCACAGAAGCTGTTTCAACCGAACAGATAACGCTCTCATCGTGAGGATTAACCGTGTCTATAGGCGTTAGACTACCATTCACGAATTCTCCATTTATGAACAATTGTTTAGGAAACTTCAAGGTCATGTTGTTTGCTTGTATTTCCACGGCATCATACTTGATCTCTTTGGTAGCAGAGATACCTCTAGCTGCAAGAATTACCGTGTTAGCAAACTCAATGAACACTGGAGCCATGAAGACATCCGTATTCTGCAAAGTCACTCCCAGATTGTCTTTGACCTCCTCTACCAGCCTCACAACGTCCATACTTCCTGCTCCTGTAAGAAAATATCAGATACTCAATCGATTAAATTTTATTAATAAAGTTTTAATTCTTAAATATTAATAGAAATACTCTTCCACTTACCGCAGGCAAAGAAGTCGGTATCCTTGTCAACGTCCATCTTCAGGATACTCTCCCAAATACTCTTTAAGGTTTCTACGTTCTTCTGCTCTTCTTCGGTGAACTCAAGCGTAGTATTTTCACTCTGTTGACCGAATTTGTTGGCACAAATGGTTTTATTCCCAATCTTTATTCTCTCCACGTTGATAAAGTGATTATCAATAGTGCTAATTAGCAGTCCACCTTCGTGCAAGTAGCCTGGTCTATCTTCTACATATATATGAGTAGTCTGTTGAGGTAGTTCATCGCCAATCCACAAACTAGATCCAAACAGACGAACTTCTTTGCCGTCGATAGTTGTCCACGCACCTGGAGTGCTACTCAAGCCACGAATGAAGTCATGAATTTTCTTAGCAGGCTTGGTCCAGTCTATTTTTTGAAGTTCCTTTTTGTTCAACATGGGATCATAAGTGGCTCCTTCTTCTTTTTGGGGGATCATTGGAGCGGTTCCTTCGGCCACGAGATTCACAGCCTCCGCCATGGCCTTGATACCTTCAGGATACAGGAAGTTACTGTACAAAGAGTCCAGAGTATCGTTAGGCTCTATTTTGCACGATCTCTGGAGTAAAATTGGCCCTGTATCAAGGCCATCGTCCGCCCAGAAAATGGAGAATCCTGCAGTGTCATCTCCTTCTATCAACGTCCTAAAGACAGCATAAGAAGATCATGATTACTTGCAAGAAAATTGTGTTATTGAAAACGACGATTGCGCAACGGTGCCCGACAATTTATCAGTCTCTTTATCGACATTCAGCGATACGAGAAAGGCACGAATAAACACGTATCATGTGTTGCGATAATTTTGCACCAGATAATGAAGTCGAACCGGTTCTAAGATACGCGTGCGCTTCGATTGACGTTGTCAGCGTCTTGTTACGCGCCTCTCTCGCCACGAGTAATACCAGTTCGGCAGATAAGCTAGCTAGAAAATCGCACAATGACCAGCGAACGCTCTCATTTATTACATTAGTCAACTGCAATCAGGTAAAGTGTTATTATGGTTACTTCAATTCAGAGCAACTGACCAACTAATAGCACTAGCTCCCCGATGTCGCGGCAGTATCGATGGATGGTAGCATATGCTGCGATGACGAGGACGATTGATGACCTCCATGGGGATGAATTGACTGCAGAATGGAAGAACATTTAGGTCGACTTCGATTCCTTTATACATTTCAAGGACTTCTGGCAAGGTCACGCCTTTGCTTCTCCATGATTTGATTTTGAAGACTGGAGTATTATCAGCTTTTGCTATCGTCGCTGTAAAAGAATGTTTGTTACGATGTTGGAAAATTGAGAATTGATTAGTAAATATTTTTTGTAGGATTAATTACCTAGAGGATCCTCCCGGTTAGCCTTGTCGGGAATGGTAAAGACTCCTGTGATCTGATGACCATTTTGCTTCAAGAGCTTGTAGACCTCGGCTGCGAAGGAGCTCTGGCCAATTATAGCCACTTTCAGTTGTGCCATTGCCGTCTAAATATTGAAATACTTTAGTTGTCATTAATTTAATGATATACATGTAGCGACACCTGAGTCAGAGGACAATTCAAACCCATGTTGCTGTTTTGCCTCGGAGTATCAAGACTGTTAGGTTGCAAGTAATGTAAGAATAAATAAACTCCGAGCAAGACAATGTTGCCGCTATATGCAACCGTCGAATGAAGACGAATTTGAATTTTTGCGACTTTCCCCTGACCAGTATAAATAAACAGGCGCGATCGCGAGTAACACAGTACATATAGAGTGTCGAATATTATCTACAGAGTATCTCGGAGTATTTATCGAGTTACGCGACGAACATTAACGAGTGTTTTGTACCAACGACTCACGTATACGGCTGTTAATTATTTATTTATTTATTTATCCGAAATATATTTGACGGGTTGCGACAGTAATATCTCGCTCTCGTTATTTCGTACTATCTATTCTCGACCAATCCTCCATATACGTATTTTACGTTGTTAGTGAGACAAGTATAGTGAAATATTAATGTAAGCAAAATATTGAAGAGATACGGATTGTGAGAAAAATCAGTTTTATATAACTAACAAATTACTATTTATTAATCATAGATTATAGAAACTATGGAAATTCAATAATTAAAAAATTATATCAGCGAATATAAATAAAAATAAATGAAGAAATGAAAAATGAATAGTGACATATATACGAAATTGCTATAATCGCTGATTTCGTTATACTTGTCTTGCTAGGGCTTTATCCTTAAGCCAACCCAATACCAAACATTAAGCATCGTAACAAATACAGTATAGTATACACCATTGTACATACCTATTTCCAGCGTTTAACGATATCTTCTAACTTTCACTGTACTTTCAAATAAACTGCAAAGAGAAGACAGTGTGAGGAAGCTGTGCGAAAGGAAAGTATGCTACAGGATAATAAGAAAAACTAAACCTGACTTCTACTTCCATCTACCATGTTATTAAAATTATATGGACTCAATACCATCTACTATCACCAGAGATATTTCCAACATGCTATATGCTGTATTGCTACCGAATTATCATTCCACTTTCTACTATTTATATTTATTTGAATTATTCGTATACCAAAGCAGTGTAAACATTGGTATCTACAAATTTCATATGATTGGCTTACTGTGTTCACGACGTAGGAACGTATCGACAAGAAGTTTTTTAGGAACAACATCAGAAAATCGACGTGGACGGTCCTCCGGCTGTTTTATTCAAGTGCGTTCACTTCGCCAAACTGCTATTCAGCTACTGACGGCTGGTAAATGGCTGGCTATCCGACTGAACCGCGTTAAACCACACAACGTTTATATAAGCTGGTTGTATCAGCCGGCAGGGTCAAGAATCGTTCTTTAATTCTTCTTTTCTTTATCTATACGGATCATTTAATATTTGTATTTCGATTTCCTACATGGATTTTCCTAATGAGTTTTCTCGCTTCGGAATATCAAGTTATTATACGTGTTATAGGAGAAGTATCGAAATTTCATTAGCACCGTAAAGTTTGAAACAAATCTGAAAATACACGTAGAAGCTACGAAATGTTCGGTGCAAATAGTTTTTAGAAAATTTATTCGGAAGGCATAGACCAGAAATGAAATACTCTAGAAGCAATTGATTACCGAAAAAGGTAAACAAATTTTTAAGAAAAGACTAGTGAAGTTACAAATAGAAGAAATTCGAATTCTAGATAAATCATTGTTCGTTTTTAGGAAGTAAGAGGGAAATCGTATAATATTTCGGTTATTTCTGTATTTGATTGTTTACCATCACTTAGACATGTGATGTTTTTCGGTTATCTATATCGAAATATATATCTATAAATATCGATGTATTTCGGTTTTTGTTAAGATAATAGTAATTACTAACCGTTAGCTTGATTAATTATTATTTTGAAAATCTAGATATATGTAATCTAGATATAAGAATTTTGGTAATTATCTGTTCTTGATAAGAAGTCGTTCATTTTAAAGGTAATACGTGTCTTTAAGGTGCAATAATAACATCTTTTGTGAATTCAAACTGTTTATTATATTTTTATTATAGTGAATGAACAAACAATTAGTATTATTTAAATTGTAAACAAATACTGTCTAAAGAAATCATCCTCCTCTGAGAATAAAGAGAATTAAGTCTAAGAGGATTAAAATCTTTAGTGTTCCAATTTGAAGTAATTCAATATCATAAAATGTTTTAAATACGTCACTTCCAATATCTTAGATAAGTCAGAATGTTGCGAATCGACGCTTTATTTAAAATAAATTATCGTTAATTATAAGTCTTAACTAGTTATAACGAGTTTTAATAAAAGATTCCCCTCTATCTATTGGTCGTAGGTCACAGTATGTTTACATGATCAAGTTTGTACTGGTTTTATTCAGTTTTAGGTCATGAATGTTTAGATCTCCAGCCGTGATGAATAAAAAAATTATGTAAGCATTCGATTATGTTGCAATAATAATAACGCAATTTCATAAAGAGAGATCAGGGATAACATCGTTTTAAAAATATTATACAGTCTTTTATTGCATCTCCGATTTTGTACAAGTGATAGTCATAAACAAATCATATAATATATACTACAACATACATATATATATATATTCTATATAATCTATATATATATATATATATCGTGAACAAGATTATACAAGTTATTCGAACATTCAATATCTAGGGACTTTGAATTCTGATGCAGCATCCAACACCGTAGTGGGCTTCCTTTTGTTCATAATATTTTGAATCTTCTGCCATTCTCTGTCCAATTCAGCTTTCTCGTTCTTTTCTTTGTTATACTTCCTTGTTCTTCTTCCATCAGCCATTTTTACACCATACTGAAATGCCGCTTTTGGTAAAGCTTCTTTATTGTTCATATACTCGCTGTACTCTTCAGGTGTATCAAAATCCCACCTGCCAATGGGGCCTTTCTTGTTGCCAAGATCCATCTTGGTATAGTCTACTTCATCATCTGAATCATCTATTGCGTCCTGCATCTCGTCCAGCCCTGGGTAACATTCTGCATACCCTTCGGGCTCGGCAGCTAGTTTATTAAGAAGCGCTCCTTTCTTTGGAGCATTACCATCCGAGTTGGAAGGTGCAACATTCGGTAATTGTGGAGTGTTTGCTTTATCATCCGCGTCCAAGCCACCTTCAGGCTTATCAAAGTAAGAGGTCTTTTTCTTTTCCCTCGGTTGATTCGGATCCTTCTTACCAATCGTCGGAACGTAATCACCAATGTCTCCATAAATACTCTCATCTTGTGGTCTTGGAGCAATATCCATGTCATTCATATCGTCAGGTCTAGACCTTCCATCCTTATTCTTCTTTCCTTTCTTACCATGACGGTTGCCTTGGCGAAGATAAGACAAAATTTGTGCCAATTTGTTTATTACAATGTCGTTTGTTGTTAAGGTAGGGGTATTATCTATGGTGGGCACATCTGCCTTGCTTCTGATTAAGGTCGTTGGTATATCTACATCCGTGTTTTCGTCATCCAATTCTATCACGTAAGCCATGCGGCCAGGAGTGAATAATTCGTTTCTTTCGATCTGTTTGGATTTCATGGTCATAACTGTTCTATAAACGTTGCGTCCTATCTTGGTTTTAAACTGCATTTCATCGTCTTTCTTTTCTCCCTCCTTCTTATCCTTTTTTTCCTTTGGCTTCACTAACTTCTCCATTTCTTGCTCTTGTTCGTGTTCCTTTGCTTCTATCTCGCTACGTACCTGTGGAATAAAATACCTTTTTTAATATATTTATATTCTTATAAATAATTTTTTATTGTAGATTCTTACTTTTTGGAGGAGAGCATAATCCAAGCCTTTCACCAAATGAGTATGCTCCATGTCACCACCCAAGAATTTTGATTGCTGAATCATCTGCCTCCTTCGTTCAGCTGCGTCCATTCCTGACTTTAAATCTGGTGCAACTGCACGATATGCACTGGCACTGTTCATTGGATCCTCTGCTTGATAGTCTTGATTAGTACCATCTCTACGTTCTCTAGCTCTGTCTCTATACTTCTCTGCCAATTCTGCCATTTTATCCTCTTCTTGCTTTTTCAGTTTGGCATAGAAACTCTTTTTCTTTCTTCGCAACTCTGCTCGGCTACCACCGCTAACATTAGGTGTCTGTGCAGTCTTTGCATTGGCATCTCTAGCAGTCCCAGGTATAGAAGCTGGAGTTGCAGATGGAACAGATGCTCTTGGTGTCATCAACAGTTTCCGGAAGTCATCGTTCGTTAAACGAACGGACATTCCCATGTCTTCCTCCGTTGTTTCTGGCATTTTAATTATTGTATATGAGTGTTCTAAAATGTTGAGGTTAGGTTATTAACATCAATTAAATTTCTATAAAAAACGGAAACTAATTAAAATTTCAATATTGTAGATTGAAGTATGTGTCTCACGTACACCTAGTATTGAGAAATGAATAATATTGATTTTAAAGAAATCGACATTTATCGCTCAACTGTTTCGACAGATATCATAATCCAAAAAGTGTCACCTCTGTCAACAAATGCCGCAGCGGTACTGCTGTCTATCGGAAAGCGTCGTAAGTATTTTGAATTTGAATCTTCTTAAGTCTTATGTGATCGGAACTGCAATTCTAGTTTGTGATTCTTTCTTTAAATAATATTAATTTTAGATAATACAGATAATAATATATTATAATATAGATATTATATTATATTCTGCAATTCTTCAACTTTTATTTCATTCATGGAACATGCTTCCTAATACTTATTACAAGTATCAAAAATTGAAAGAAATTATAAGGAAACAATCGGTCGTTTCTAGACTTTAAAGACTTCGTATTTTGCATCTATGCAATTAACGAAACGCATCATCGCTTGTCCTAATTCAGGATTAGCTACGTAATGTTGGAAGCGTGTGATTCCGTTGCACGCAGCTCCGTATTCTCCATCTTTGTTTATTGCAATTACAGCACCGGTGAATGTAGGATAATGTTCGGCAATCCTTCTAATTGCTGTAGTGGCAGCCTCAGTTGGAGTCGCGCCACGACGCATTTCCTCTACAGCCAGGAAACTAAAAAAATATTCTCAGATTGAAAATTGCAAATAATTGAACAAAACTACATTCTGATTAGGCTGTGGATGTTTTCGCAATTATATATCTTTATGAACGTAACTAAAGAGATAGAAACTAAATTTATCCATCTATTAAATATCATAGCGAACACTTTACTTTAGATCTTTTAATTATTTAGTATTTTTTTCTATTATATATTCTGTATATTTTTATTAAAAATACATAAGTACCTAATTATGATAGTTCATTGAATAACCTTCTTACCTTGGCAAAAAACGCATCATTATATCTCCTTCACCGGTTCCAGCTGCCGCACCAACCCTTTGATCAGCATATGCGCCTGCGCCAGCTATGGGGGAATCCCCAATGCGGCCAGGGATTTTATTTCTAGCTCCATTCGTCGATGTACCTGCTGCTATATGCCCATTCAAATCTATAGCTACAACTCCGATCGTATCGTGGTTTTCTTCGTTCACATGTGATTCATGCTTCTCTACATTGTCTTCCATGATATTCGCTACACGATATGGGCCACAAGACTTTTTTGGGTCCGGAACTACGTTCTGATAAAGTAAATATATGATTTTAGACGGACATTTATATATAATACAAATATATGTGTATGAGATTTATTTTCAGCTTCTTTGGTTCTTCTTTTCTGAAAAGAAATATTCTTTTCTTGGACTCTTTCCTAGATGAAAGATTATTGATATACCTTCCAATAATTGGGTTGACAGTTATTTGACTTCCAATCCAACCACATTTTCTTTGATTCTTCTGTCTGTAAAGGTTCTTCTTTGAATCCCATCTCTACAGCGAATTTTGTAGCCAGTTCTCCGCCAAGCAAAGAATGTTTGGTGTTTTCTAAAACCTTACGAGCAACTGAAATGGCATTTTTTACATTTCTCAATAGTCCTACGCCACCCACATCCATTGTTACTCTGTGTTTAGGTAAATAATTCAATTAGAAACAATATTTTGCTTAGAATATATATGTAAATGAATGAAAAATATACCCATCCATGATTAGAGCATCCAGAGTTGTTTCTCCAGATTCATCTGGACTGCCTCCATATCCTACAGTTTTCCTGCATCTTTGCTCTTCACAGACACTGCAACTCTCTTCTATTGCATCTAAGGCACTCCTTTTCTCATTGTTCAAAACATTCCATGCTGAAATGAAATTATCATTATAATATTGTTCCTATCTTTTTAAAGACAGAAATGTGTAGTTACCTCTTTGTGCAGCATCCTTATAATCCCAGGTAATGACTACCAGAGGAATACTCTTATTAGAGGCTGAAGCTTTCTGACAAAATGTTAACCAAACGTATGCAGTCAAATATACAATCAATAAGGACTTCATATTTAAAGTTTAGTTCAAAAGCTATTGATGAGTATGGAGTATTTGAGAGTAGATGATCTTTGTCCACAGAAAAAGTGGGGATATATCTCTCTGATGTCAGGCTATGTACATTTATATTGTTTTAACATAATGCTTCTCAAGAACAGAGACCTATTTTAAACATAACAAATGGATCATTCTCATGCAAATTTATGTAATAATTATTTAAATCGTTCTAAAAATGTATATAATGTAGTGTTTTATATACACTACATTATAGTATATTACATATTACACTATACTATATTACACTATATTACATTAAAATACAAAACTGTATCCCCTCTTATGGAAAATTTTGAGATATTGAGTCCAATGAATGTGTTACGATTAATCGTAAGTCGTATCTTATCTATAATGCATTTTCCTATGTAGTACAGTTTCGTCTGATGTATAGAAATTTATCGAATACGATTATTAATTATTTAATTTATTTTCATGATTAACATGACTTATCCAAATCGTACTAATTACAAAAGGTTAACGGAAAATAAAAACTAAGGAGTTACTTATATCAAATAGTAGTAGTTTAGAAAAACAATTTAATTTCTTTCAAATGCTGTTACTAATAATTATTATGAGAATTGATTATTGAAAAAAATTATTATGAAAAAAATAATTGGAAAATGTAATATCAGACATTAAAATAATTTGATTAGATAATAGAGAAATTCTAGACGACTTATTTCGCTTGATTTGTATTATTATAATTTGTCGACCAATGAGACAACCGAATTACTTATGTCGCTAATTTACCATTTAATTCCTTAAATCAGAGATCATACTTCGTTTATACTCGTTCTTCTCATAATTTTGTATTGTATTCGATAAGGAAATTATATGAAACAGTCTTGATAATATTTTGGAGTTCATCTAAACATGGAAGGGTTCGTTGACATGAGTAAATTGTAATTGTTGCTTCGTCTATTGTCATCAAGGAAAAAATTGAATTATAACAAATTATTCAGAACATCTTTATAAATTAATTGAAGCTCACTCTACATATAATAAAATAGGACAAAAGTATCTTTCCACGAAATTTGGAGCTGCTGTTATCCTAATCAGCAAACATAACCTATACACAAATCATTTAAAGAGAGAAAATGCCTTTAAAAAAAGACTTGCGACTTCTGTTGAAGCCCTATTATTTTATAAACATTTTACTCAGTCTCTCATATATTGTCTCCAAACGTGTTCCATTTGTGTGTAACTATGTATTTGCACAAGCTGAGTGCGAACTTGATGGGGTAAGTCATTTAAATATAAAGACAAACAGTTTATTATGCTATGCGTGTAGAATATATATTTCATACTAAATATATTCTTGTTTCAGAGAGAGACAGAGATTCTGTTTTTTCTTATGATAGTCATAATGATAAGGACAAGGAAGACTGGAAGTGTAACTATGATAAGCTACTTATCATCCAGTTTTGTATATACTAAAGTTGCCAATCTGATTCTTTGGTTTTATGCAGATATACGTATGGGAATAATATTTGCTATTGTATTCATCTGTATGTGTTGACTTGATATTGTACTTATTCTTCATATGAATGTTATTACATGATTTAATAATTACAGTATGCGGTCTAGTATTTCCTGAACCAACATACCAAGGTCCAGAGAAAGTAACGTATTTACGAGGTGCAGTTGGATTGCAGGAGGAATTGCACCGTGACACGAGAATCGTTTGGTTAGTTGCGTTTTACACAGCATGGAACCCAGCTTGCGTCAACTTTGCACCTATATTCTCCGAGCTTTCGGCAGAGTTCGTAATGATTGATTACTTATGCACTATTTATCACTATACAACCCTTCATTGAAAGTAATATTTAGTGGATTTGTAGATATGCTTTGGAAAATTTGAAATTCGGAAAAGTAGATATAGGGAGGTATCCAGATGCTGCAGTGAAGTACCACATAAGTGATGCTAGCACTAGCAAACAGCTTCCCACCTTAATTTTATTTAAGGAAGGGAAAGAGGTAGAAAGACGTCCATATGCAGATCATAAAGGCAAACTAGTTAAATTTCTTTTTTCATTGGTATGTATGATAGAGTTTCTTATAGTTGAAAACATTAAAGTATGTATCAAACAAAATAGTTGCTTTTTTAGGATAATATAAAGGCAGCTTTTGATCTGAACAATGTGTACAGAGATTGTAAAAAAAATCCGATTAAAAGAAGAGAGAAGAAAGCAGTAAAAGCAGAATGACCTAATTAACATTTCCAAACGTTTGTTGAATTACTGATGTCATAGCACTGCCAACAATTTCAAATGAAAATTACTTCTACTGTGTAGAATAATGGACGTTTAGTGTCACGCGCAAATTTTCATTTATAGCAAAACTGCAGAAGATTTGTAAATATTCATTATACTTTCTATCATTGTACGCATTTTATGCACCACTGTGTTCTATTAGTGAATATCGGATATTAATGTAGGTTTAAGATAGTAATTTATTAAAAGCGAGTAGTTGTTATTACAATCATTGAAATGGAATGATACATAAAGTGCCACGTGTATGAATTCATGAAAAACCAAAGCAGAGCTTCTAGTTAATCTAGATAGTATGCGACATTACAGTTTCATTGAATAAACTATTGTTGAAATATATCACTGTATTAAATAATTGTATATTACAAAATTCGGGTATGTAAAATATACATACAATTCGTGAATACAGAGTCAGATACTAAATTTGTCATACAGGTGGCCAAATAAGCACAACGTGTCCATGAGCTGATTCTGGTAACCATTTCTGATAAGCAGACAGAAGGACTGAAATTAATAATAAATCATTTTTAGTATTTATTCCGACCCTATAGCTATGCACATGCTATAAAACATGCTTACAATTTTTATCTACTTTCCAAGCTTCTAGTAATTGTCCTTTTGACATAATTCCGCGGGACAGTAATAACTGCGTCATTTCCTGTGTTCGTGGTATTAATCTAAAATAATTATATAAAATTGTTAATTCAATGTCGAGTAGCTTCATGTATTTTAAATCTTACTTAGCCCATGTCTTGTTAATACTTTGGGGAGTCGATAACAATGAAGGAACGAATTGTTTCAATTTTGGACACACTTTTCCTTCTAAAAGGAAACATGCAAACCATTTAACTCCATCTACAGATAGTGGGTACTCCACATCCATTACTGGTAACTTCCAACCTGCTCTTCCAAATGTTCCTGCCATACTGCACATTACCTTTCCAGTTTCTGGATCATACCTACGCAAATACATTGATATAAGCAATTTATGTACTAAAAAGAGAAGTAAGGTTAGGAGTAAGAGACCTTGGTGGTGGATCAGTTAAAGGTTCTCCAAGCTGACATAGAGATGGAGCAAATTTAGGTAGCCATTCGGGTTCTATACTTGTAACACCGCGCATGTACATTTTATTCGTCTCGTATATTTCTTGATAAACTACCCATTCAGGGCAGATTTTTCGAAGAACACATGAGGAATGTATGAATACTGGATCCTCCATATCTGTGGTTCTGGATAAAAGATTATATAATTACATTCGGTTATGATTTAAATGATCAAGGAGTCTTTGATATCTTACTTGTAAGCATATTTCCACTTAGCCTTGTCTTGATCTTCATTAACTTCATCTGGCATCACTTTCCTTGCAACTTGATCAGCCATTCCTGCAAGGACTATTTGTCTGAGTAATTTGGCTTCTATATCGGCTGGAGGTTTCATCCTAAATTAAAATTGTCAGTAGGAGAGGAATTTATTAAACGTAAAATGTAATTCAATTACTTTCTGCAATGCGTACTGTGGGTTAATAGTGAGATTCAAATCCTCAATATTCAAATTGATTTCATTCGTTAGCTGCTGTCGGAGCTTTCGAATTTCTACAATTGCTTTGTGTCGCAAACCATGCTCTTCGCAAAAGGGAAGTAATCTTCCTTTAGTTCCAGCATATTCTGCACTTCCCACAGCCCTAATTAAAACCATCGGATCGCCTTTGCATAGAATACATTTCACTGCGTTAATATAATCTTCATTTCTTAATATTATTCTAATTTTTTTAAATTCTATAATAATTACCAAGAAGTAAGCTATTTCCGGTGCCAGCCCAGAAGCGCCTCATTTGCAACAATTTATTTCGGGAATCACCGTCCATATTCAATGTTTCCATCAATACTTCTTGAACAGAAAGTGCAGCCACCATACACACTGTATACTGCAGAAGGTCATATTGATGAGAGAGAGCCAACATCTTTCCATAACGGGGAGCAACTGGAAATGCAGCGATACTGCGACCGAGTGGCGTGACTTTGGCACTATAGGAACCTAAATAAAAAATAGATATAGTAAAGAATAAGTAACCGATAATGATTAAATTAGTGGTTTGACTTAAATAATTATAGTTGTTAATACCTTCTTTGCCGGAAGTTTGTTGTTGTAAAGCTCCAAGTATCATCAATCTTTTTTCAGCAATTTGTAATTGTACAGTATCTGGTGGAGTTGGGAATGGAAAATTAACAACCTTATCAATATTCATGACTTTCATCTGTAACAGTAAATCATCCACAGGTTTCCTTTGAATCTCTGATTGACTAAACTGTTCAAACTGATCATTGAACACTGCTGAAGAGTACAACCTGTAAATAATATCCAATAGGGAAATTAGATCTTTCAATGACTCCAAAATTGTATATTGATATAAGTACCTGTAACAATGTCCAGGACCAGTTCTACCAGCTCTCCCTGCTCGTTGATTAGCGGATGCCTTGCTAGTATAGCAGACTCTGTATGTGCTTACTCCAGTTACTTTATCGTACATTCTCGTTTTACAACGTCCACAGTCTACTACATACTTTATGTTAGGTATAGTTAAAGAAGTTTCTGCTACGTTTGTTGATACTACACATAAACGGTGTCCTTCTGGGGGTGGCTCGAATACCTAAGGATTAGAGACTTTTAATACTATCTTCCCCACTTGCTCTTTTTGTGAATTATTCTCAACATTTCTTAATTACCCTTGCTTGTTTGTCACTCTGAAGCAGAGAATATAATGGTAAAACCCACAATGGTTGTGCATCTGCACAAGTTTTTAAGTCAATTACGTCGTCATCTTCATCTTCATCCTCGTCTAATTGTATTTCTTCGTCATCTTCCGCGCCAATTAAATCTTCGTGAGTATCATCGGTAGGAATCACAGAGTAACTAGAAATTGATACATAATTTTAATTAAACTGCGGATATTTATTCAATTACATATTTTTATAAATATACAAAGAAATGGAACCTAAATAAGAATTTATTTTATCTACCACATAATAAATACTTTACTTTGGATATTTTGTATATTTTTGTACATTATGTGCATTTTGCAGATTTTTGGAACCTTGAAAGATTTACCAAAAATATCCGTATCTAACTATAAAGAAACTGGAAGAATTAATGTTATATTTTCTTACGCACTCATCCAGATTAATATTTGGTAATTGAACTTTCTTCTTTTGTCGTAATTTGTTGTAACGAATAGCTTCCTTGCAACGAAAATCATCATCATCATCATGATCACTATTGTCACTCTTGTCCTCATTATCACTGTTGTTTTTTATATCATCCTCTTTCTTTGAAGAATCATTAGTCTTCTGTGGTTCTTTCATCTTGTTTGCAATTTCCTTTTTATTCTTCATGGAAAAAGCTCTGCGTAATTTACATACTACATAATTTACTTCCCGTTGCCCTAAATTTTAACGATATACATTTTTAAAACAACAACATTATAAGCTCTAGAAATAATTCCAGATTGGAAAATATATACCTGTTAAAAATATTAAGATTCCACCATCGGGAAGGCGAGTATGTATTTTTATGGCTTTCTTTAGAGCATCAGAAACGTAATTGATGCTTGTCCTTTTATTAAAATGTATCGTAACAGGAAACTGTCTCGATTCCACTGTTAATACAGGCGGTTTCGTTTTGAACAATTTACTATTTTCTACAAATTCCTCTACGCGTAAAGTGGCTGACATAATTACGAGCTTTAGAGGATTCTTCCTTTTATTTCGAAGTGGTACAATTCGTGATAGCAAGCCTATCAGAATATCAGTATACACACTACGTTCGTGCGCTTCGTCGAGGATGATTATCGAATATTTTGTCAGTAAAAAATCCTAAAATATTTGAAATCTTAATTACGATTATCTCAAAGTATTTTGTTTAATTTACCTAGATGATTACATACACTCTGTATTTCTTTTAATAATACGCCATCAGTCATAAATTTGACTTTTGTCTCTGATGTAACATTCCCCTCAAAACGAATCAAATAAGAAACTTCTTCTTCAGTGAGATTCATCTCTTCGGCAACACGTTTGCTCATAGATATAGCTGCTACTCTTCTAGGTTCTGTTATTCCAATTACCTTTTCTTGAGCATAGCCAGCTTCATAGAGAAATTGGGGTACCTGAGTTGTTTTACCACTTCCCGTTTCGCCAGTGATTATTACGACAGGATTTTCATTAATTGCTTCTATTATAGCTTGTTCTTCTGCTACCACTGGCAACTTTAATCTAGCTGCTTGGATTTCCGGTTTCCTTTCCAGTACTACAAACGTGGCAGGTGTTCTTTCTATTGGCTGCTGTGGTTTTAACAATTCTTTACTTATAGTGGTTTGGTTTTCAATTGACTTTTCCTGTTCTCCCACAGTACTTTTTGTTATATTATTCTCTAGAATATTATCTTCTTTGTTTGGAATATTTTCATTATCTTCTGAAGTTTCTGCTGCATCTTTCTCCTCTCTGTCTTCATTATCCTCAGAATTAGATTCAGATTCACTATTGCTAGGTTCCTATAATAAATAATCATTAGTTTTTACATTAACTTTTAATATCATTAACTTACATCAAATCCAATGACGTTTGGATCTGAAACAGCATCCTGTACTTTTTGTTCTTTCAAAATTGCCATCCTTCTCTTCTTGCTACCTTTAATAGCATTTACAGGTACTTCTGACATGTTGTCCTCATTTTCATTATTTGATTTGATCATATGTTCCTTAACAGGTAATTCCATTTCTCTAAAATGACGTTTCAGTCCTTTAGTTTGTACACTAGTCAAAGATACATATTGCTTCAGTTCTTCCTGCGGTGCTTGAACTTTCCCCAATTCCTCTAAAAGTTCAGTCCTCTGTTTAAGGTTAGAATATATGCAAAATGAATACTCAAAGAGAAAAAACTAATTCTATATTATAACTTACACGTAACTTTTTCTTCTTCTTTTCTACAACTTTCTCTAATTGTTTTCTACGTTTCTTGGATAATAACCGTGTAGTAGTGACTTTTTTAACTTTGCTCTTTGTTCTTCTTTTTTCATTTGGGAGCACTAGCGCGTTACAGTTATCGTAATTATCTTCACGATATTTTATATCTATAGGAATCTATTCAAAGAAGAGTATAATTAAATCTTATTCATTATTTTTTGGGTATAATATTATACAGAAATACCTTTTTAGTCGCAGAATTGTCAATTTCAACTTCTGCGATATTTCTCGCCTTCCAATTATGTTTTTTCCTCCCCATTTTTACTTTTACACTTGAATCCAAACTTAAGTAAAGTAATGCGTTCTGTTTCTCAAAAAATTTGAATTTTTGTAACTATTGATTGATCTTGTATTTTATTTGGATTTGTACGTTGCTACTTTGGTTATGTTGATTTTAACCATGTGCTTCAGCTACAGGATGACATCTAGCACTTTTTTTATGAAGCATGTATAACTGTTTATAATTGATGTCTACGATAGTTTATCATAAGTCGGTAACAGTATCCGCAATCAGTAAGATCAGATCCATAAACAAAAAAATATTTTCTCGTAATCTCAACAGATATCACTGATACAGAGGGAAAGCATGGTATTAAAATAAAGTATAGCTTATTTTTATTAATTATACTAATTAAACACGAAAGAATTGATTACAGAAAAAGCGAACAATTTTTTAATTACATCATGCATTTTTCATAAGTATAAATATTTATGCTTTTATATAATCTTCAAATTAAGTTTTCAGAAACATAATCTATATGGTAGAGGTTATGTAGAACAAAACTTACTAAGTATTGCTTCAAATATATTTTATTGAAATTCAAATCTGAGATATGGATTCAGGAAACTCGAATTCTAGTGAAACACCCTCGCACCCGCTGGTAGAATCTACTCCACCTACTCAACGAGTAAGTTAATGGATTAATATGTATTTTAATTTTTTTACATCTTTATAACCTATGCTGCTACAGAGAACTCGAGGATCACGTCAGAAAGCAGTAGACAGCGTGACGAAAAAGTTCCTGCGAAATTTCGATCCAGAACACAGTGAAAGGGAGAAACGTAAGCTTCATAGACGACTATACCAAGGCAACAAAAGACACGCTTTGTACAACGAAAATGGCATATATATCCGAACAGGAGACGATTTATGTGACTGTTTAAATTTGAATTGTGCAGGATGTCATCTTCCTTGCGTCAAATGTTCTTCGCCAAAGTGTAGCCACGAATGCAGGTTTGACATAAAAGAGCGCTGGATAACCGCACTAACTTTCACAAGCTAGCATTAAGTACGGTATTTTTACTAGGAATAATCGCAAGTGGATGTACGAGTCAATAGAAAACGAAGGCAGCGATATCATCATAAAAAATCCTTTATTAAAAGAATCTTGAAATTTCAAGTCTTTTAATCTACGATATGATTGTACTGTATTTATAAAAACTCTATGGCTGTGCTGGGAAAGGGAGGGACAGGGAAAGGGAGGAACTTCACCAAGTTTTTCATCGAATTTTAAACTGTGTATTACTTTCTTTTACTAATATTATATAAGTTATATGTATTAGAATTAGAATAATCATAACATAAAAACTGATATACAAGTGTATTCGTGTCTTTGGTCTCTGTACAATATCCTTGCTTTTAGACTGAACACTTCCTGTCGAATCCTTTCACAATCATGTCTACATCAGCATTTTAGGAAACCATAGCAGTATTGTCACCTGATAGCTGGTCTGATTATCCTTGTACGTAATCAATTCACCAGAACTACGTGAGAGAACAGAATAGGAGTTGAGTTGCAAGCAGAGTCCTGCAAAAGCAAGGTAGGTGGGACTGGAAATCACGCACAGTTGACGGTGCACGTGCGTGTGCACCGGCACACGGACACGCTATTGATTTTCCACGGCACTTTCGGCGTAGTGCGCACGTACCTAACGCACATACACACGTTCGGCCGTGCAGAGTGGGGTGAGCCCCGGTGCGGAGGGCGTGCGCTTCGTTTTCCATCGAGATCGTGAAAGTTCACGGTAGCGAGTGGCCGGACCACATAGAAAGAGAGAGTGCTGAGAATATGCTGATCCCGTGGCCGGTGGAAATCGAGCGCAACACCCGTCGATCGATCATTTGCTAATTAACTGCCGTGGTTAAGGTACTTGGACGTTGGACAGGTGACCCGCTTTGCCAGGACATCGACACTGGATGAGAATCCTTGGCCAGGCCAGTTATTATCGTCCCGGCTCCTAGAAGGCTCCTTGGTCTAGCACGTTGACTGTTTCGGTGGGCAGAGGATTCCTTTGAACCTTAACGGAGCTCGATCTCCAGTCTGTGAAGTTCATTACTGATTTTTGAAATAGGAAGAAGAGGCAAGCAAGTGCACAGGGGAACGTCTTCGTCAGTGAAACGTCTTCTCCAGCAACTATATTGGTTTCCTGGAAGTCAAAGTGACTTGTTCGACGAAAAGAGAGCGCACGGCGGTATCGTCTGGCCCACAAGGTTCACCACACACTTTATTATCTGCAGACCCTCCGCATCACCGGGTCAATGCGATCGTGATCTTATCGCCTAATGCGACTCGTGACGCGTCGACGTTTAACCGTGGTCGTGGTTCAGTAATTGGTCAAGAATATCTCGCTCCGGGGTTCCCGGCTACCTCTCTGCTGTTTGTACTGATTATTTTTTATTTTGTTCTTTTTAGATGACCTCGGGAGTGATTGGTAGTGATTGATATCGAAACCCATGTGAATTCACAGGTTTCTTAAATCGTCGTCGATATTACCATTGAGCCTCCGAAGCGAAAACGTTGTTTGATAACGTTGACAAGAGACTCGAGTCTCAAACATCACTTGTTGAATACATACACATATAGAGGGATGATTACGGGTCGTAAGAGGATTTTGAAGTGGCATTTATATCGGGCCGTCGTTTTTCTCGTCGAGTAATCAGTCGATCCAATATCGCTAAACAAAAAAAAAAAAAAAAAAAAAAAAAAAAAAAAAAAAAAAAAAACGAAGATAAGAAAACCTACTTTGGTTTGCACTTCAACGTCATATGCGGCTTTCTTTAATTCAAAATCACGCTGAGCTTTAGCAATCTCGGTATCATTAAGAAAACGAGCAGCCATTCTTTGTTCTTCAGCGATGGCTTCGCGAATTTGAGCATCTCTACGAGCTTCTGCTTCACCGATTCTCGCATCACGTTTCACCTCAGCTGTTCTTGCCATACCAAGAGCTTTCAGGTATCCCTATAAATGATCGATAAATATTTAATATGATATGATTAATAACATTGTATTTTCATTACGAATTTTATGAAAATTACACAATCTATTGGAAAATTACAGACGAAAAAGATAGCACGTGGAGCAGTAGCTTGATGACTCCACGTTGACTTTGTTCATTAAGCTTTCAACTTGTGATTCAATCGTTTGATGATAATTGGAGATACAGTAGTGTCATAATCCATATATAATTTGATCGATGCTCAAAGTGGTTCGCTTTGTAATTAAATCAGCCAGTCGTTAAACGTCATCGCACTCGTGGGAGTCGAATAAAGAGAGTACATATATTGGTCAATGTAAACAGCAACCGGCAGAGGCGTAAAAAGAGGGAAGGAGAGATTCTGGGGTGGCGGAGGGTTGCTGCAGCCTTTACGCAAAAAGCCGTGGGCGTGTGAGTCAATTTCGCTTTTGTACGTCGTGTGCGACAGACAGATTTAAACGGGATCACGGACGGACCCCGACTGGCGGGGGTTAACATCATCGGGACGGCAGATGTCAGGATGCCGGAGCAGAGCAACGACTATCGCGTGGTGGTGTTTGGGGCGGGCGGTGTCGGCAAAAGCTCTCTCGTGCTGCGTTTCGTGAAAGGAACCTTTCGTGAGTCCTATATACCCACTATCGAGGATACGTACAGACAGGTAAGCCTGAGAAGGATGCGTGAATTAGTATACTTTATACGTGGTGTCCTAGTGATCATGGTAAAATTGGCAAAGGATTGGTTCTACGCGAAAAAATAAATCAGAAATATAGGATACAATCTTTTTATGCGATGCTCCGTTTTTGTAGAAAATCGAATTCCAAAATTATAGATTGCAGATTTTCATGCAAATTGATATTTTTATAAATCGGCATGATAGTTGCCACGGGGTCATCGGTGACCTACAATTTTCTAAGAATAATTAAATTAAGATAAATTTCATAGACCAAGAAATATAATATGTTGCATCAAATATAGGTTTACGCAAATTGGTATTTTTACAAATTGAACAAGTGGGATCTAAGCAGAAATTTCTCTCGTCCACTGAATATTGTAATATGTACTATAATTTGTATACGTACTTTGTATATTTTTTCATGTTATGCGCATTTTCTATATTTGTGCAATGTTAAATTTCCTATGCGAATACATAAACTTGTACTTAAACCGTAACTTATTCATAATATAGCCGCGGGGTTGATCTAGATATCGATTAGATTCAATTGCGCGCGAATTTTATTTTTCATACTTGCAAAACCGATATAGTACATGAAAATTTTATTGTCTGTATAATTAGATGATTCATTTATCTATTTGATTAAGTCAGTTTGAAGCGAAATTGATCAATTGCGGCAAATTTTTAAAGAACGTTTTAATTTTATCAGTATGAATTTAGATTACTATTTAACTTTTCAGAGATGGAACGTAGAAATTTTACTTTCCATACTTTCAAAAGCGATTTAGTGTGTAAAATATTTTAATGTCTTTTTTAGCAGACGATTTATTTATTTAATTAAGTTAATCAGAAGCAAAATTGATCAATTCCAACGAATTTTTATCAATATACATTTATGATATATACATTTGCATTTAAGGTTTTAAAGACAATATACGTTCTCAATATTACATTTGCATTTAAGGTTTCAAAGACGGAATACAGGTACCCTCGTATAACACGATATAGTTACATTCGAAAAATATGTCGAGTTATGCGAATCCGTATTATCGTAGAGATCTTAATGTATCTGAATGAAAATTAACAAAAGTATACTATTCCCTGTTTATAACTAAGAGAAATATCTTAAGAGAATTACGTATTACGTATATTACGTAAGCGAGGGCAATTTCCTTTCTGGCAAAATAACCTCATCTTCTAATTTTCGTTGACTTATGTACGATTTCCATTTATGTTTGTTGTAAAAAATGTCATCGATGTTTCATCAGAAAAGCTTCGAATTGCTAGTCCTGAAAATGAATTAAAAATTTCCGTATGTATTCCAAAATTCTTGCACATTTGCTCGAGTAAGAAATATCGAGTTTATATATCGATTGTATATCGAGAAATATTGATTATAATACTTGCGCTTAAAAATTCTCATTGCCTACTATGTTGTATGTAGAATTTCCCCAATTCTCAAATCGTATTAGAGCTAATGTTGCAGGCCTACCATGTTGTACAAGGATATGTACCTGTAAATTTCGATAGAGTTGGTCAGTTCAATTTCCGTGTGTTTCAATATCGAAACAGCCTAGATACTACGTTAATGCATTTCTTATCATTTAAATCGATTTCGCGATCTCGTATATCGAGACTATCGCACGTTTGATAATTAACCGGGGAAGTAGTATAGAATTGGATCGGACAGGCGATGCAAGTAGTAGAGGTATGTCGTATATGAAACAGAGGTAATAGATTTTCCCGATCAGATAAGTAACAGGGACCGTGGTGACGTAAATCGCTGACGCTTCACCGATGATTCATACATGATGCAAGATCATTGTTCTAATCGTTCATCTCCTAACCATTATCTCGTTCTGTAATCACGAGATTCACATGGAATCGAACTGCCAGTAAACAATCGATCTCCTCGACCGAACAACGTTTTCTACCTCTGTTTTTATTTGCATTTCAAATCCATTGTTCTCTCGACATTGTTATATAACTCGCCAGAAAGCGAGATAATAGGGTTAGGTTAGAGATACGATTCGAATACCATTTGAATACGTTTAACTTTTAAATTAACCCTCTATTATTTTATAATTAACGATGCTTCCTGTTCTGAATGTTTTAAGACATGAATGATATTAATTTTCAATTGATGCATTTTTTATGTTATCGTATATCGATATCTAATGGTTGTCGTCGATTATCGATATATCGCTCATTCAATGAATTTTAACGTCATATTTTAACCATAGAAATATGGTCTTAATAAAGTTACAACGATTCAATACATTCAAACTAAGTTTTTTCTAAAATCATAATTTTTATGTTATGTCATTGTTACAGTAGATGAGTGATATATATACATATTAATGGAGGCTTTTCCTTACCGACATTAATAACGAATATTATGGATCGCGTTGCGATTGGGATTGCGCGATCGATCGATTAGTGGATAATTCAAATTATCGACGATCCCGTTCAATTGATCGTTTGCTCAATTTCTAATATCGATTAAGCGGTCATCGATCGTGATCGTAAATAGATTTAAATTATTCCCTAATCGATTGATGCAATGTCAGTTTCAAGCTCGTTCAAACTATCGAAGAAGTTTCGGAACGAGAAAAAAGAAAGTATAAAAAAGCTTCGTTGGTGGAACTGTTGAGACCCGTGCTGTGTTTGCGACGAGAAGCGTGGCGAACAAACAGAGATATTCAAACGGGCGGAAATGGGACGATTATGCTACGAATATTTCAGGTGATAAGCTGCAATAAAAACATATGCACGCTTCAAATTACGGACACAACGGGGTCTCATCAGTTTCCCGCGATGCAACGGCTCTCCATAAGCAAAGGTCACGCCTTCATCCTGGTGTACTCGGTGTGCTCACGGCAAAGCCTCGAGGAACTACGACCGATCTGGGCTATTATTAGGGAGCTTAAGGGACAGGACGTATCACAGATACCTATAATGCTGGTAAGGCCTATTCTTTTGGTTGTCTCGTTTTCAAGTTGTCATATTTTTCTAACAAAATGATGACGTATAATATGAAGGTTAAAGTGAGAAAGCGAGGAATGTTGCAGAATAAATATAACTTGAAGAGTGGGGGAAAACAAGGATTGCCATAAAACAGTTTTATCGAGAAAATTAATATTTTAGTTCACGAGAGGAAGAACATTTAATGAATTTAACTGTACTGTTCGTAAAACGAAGTTTATACCTTAGACATCGTAAAAAATGAATAATAAAACATTAATTATTTTTATCCTTGTTTTGTTCCAGTGCAGAATGAAACCAGCACTCTAAATCTTTAACGCTGTTTTATGGAGACATTTTGGACATTATAATCATTGTAATTCGATAGTTCTCTAGTCCCAGTTGTCAGAAACAAAACGTATTATAAAGTGGAAAATCAGGAAAAATGGACATTCCTCATTTCTTCTCATCTTTCATATTTAAAGCAATCTTTCTATAAATTCTTCGCATAAAAGAACAACAATATAACTTGATATTTCTATTTGATTCTCATTGTTTAACAGGTTGGGAACAAATGCGACGAGAGTCCATCGGTACGCGAGGTATCGATGAGCGAAGGAGCAGCAGAAGCCGCGAACTGGGGCTGTGGTTTCCTGGAAACATCCGCCAAGACGAATCACAACGTAAATGCATTATTTCGGGACCTGCTGATGCTCGAGAAGAACAGATCTGTATCGTTGCAGCCTGTACAAAGCAACAATGCGATCAGTCTAAAGGAAAAATGCTGCGTAATGTAACCTAGCAGAATTAGAGCAGCCATAATGGAAAGAAGTCACGGTGCATCGTGTATGAAGACGACCAGAAGGAAGAAGAAAAAGAAGGAAAAAGAAGAAGTTATTCGAAGGACAAAAGTAACAGAATCAGTCGGCGATTTCTCGACCCGGCGTGGCATCGGCCACGGTAGTCTCGACACGACCAGTAGTTAGAATAGATTAGATTTTGCGCGAACGAAAGGGACGATAGATATCCGTGAGACTACGTGTCGTACAGGGTGTATCTAATGCTCTTTTTTCATTAAGAAGCTTATTCTCGCGCAGATAAATAATTCTCCAGGACGTTTGTGGATCCTCCAACGATGAGATCGGATAGATTGTGAGGTTGTGCGTCGGTAAGAGGGATAATAACGTGCCGATTGTTACAACGGTCGATTCAGAGCATTAGGGCCGCTTTGTAGTCTCTTTCTAAACCAAACCGTATTACTATACTATTGATAGATTTTTTAATTTTGATACAGAGCGACGTAACTCGGTCCGTCTTCTAGGTTTCACGAGACCAACGACGCGTTTTTCATTCTGTACCAGTCGGCTCGTTAATGGATCATTATACATTCTGACCATCCGCTCGACTATCCCGAGCTTACTATATGGAAGGGACACGATCGTTCTGACCGGCATAGAACCGATCTAGACCAAGTAATCAATCTGACAAAAAGCGATCGTCCTTTTCGTGCCCAACGGAACAACGTGGATTTTCCTTGAAAGAGCAGCCAGTACAAAGCTTATAGTCTCGACCACGTTTCTTGATATGTATGTATTAATGTACGATGAGATGTATACCGAACAGGTTTAACGATCCAACACAGAATCAACGCTCTTTCACGAAAATCTTCCGAGACCGCTGTCCGAGACTACTAACGCGATGATCAATTTCTGGGACTAGTATCGCATACAAGTTTTCTCCATCCGGAGATGGAGCATAGGGGCGAAACACATGCGAACGAGAAACGACAAAATTAGATAAAAAGTTGTTACGAGATTGGTTTTTGTTGAATAGTTGTAAGGTTTTTGTAACGATGCTAATTAGGATTTATTACTCGACACATGTTGGTTGATACAATTACATGTACTTACACACACTTACACATACACGGACAACACACAGAAGGGCTTACATACGTGTACCAACACGCATAAACACACACAGAGTCATTAGGCACCATGCGTTTCCCGTGTTGACCCAAATTTTAGTGTTTTCCTCCTGTATGTCGTACGCACAGACGTAGGCTATTAGTGTTTGCGAGGAGACGCTAATTAAAGGGACTCGCCTCAAAGAGCTCGTTTGTTCCTCGACTCGAGTTTCGTTCATTTTGCTACTCGCGTTTATTGTTGCAACCGAGGTTCCTGGGCCGAGTTTGGGCAAACTTTTTCGCTATGATATCTCTGTCCTTCAGTACTACTATTATTATCAGTGATAAACAAATAGAGAGAGCAAAGGAGAATGTCTTAAAACAAACTTTAGGAATGTTTGCCAATTTCTTCAAAAGTAGACATTATGAGTGTTATCAGCTTGAAAAATTTGCCCTGACTGTCCAGCTCATCTTTGTTGGAGCGACCGATTACTATAGTTTCCTTTGTATTTAACTGTTATTCGATGACGTCTCTGTATCTGTGGGAGCCAAAGCTTCCTTTCATTTAAGAAACGCAATGGAGGCACGAGTGGGTGATAAATTAGTCTCTAATTTGGTCGGTAGAGTAACTGCTTGTTTCCAGCGAACATCAACGAATTATGGTTCCAGCCATTTTATACGTGGTCGTTGTTTTGTCTACTCGTGCCGGCGTTCAATCATCGTACCGATAGCTTTAAGAAACAAACGCTGTAATTCTGTCTAACGCGTTAACGGGATAAAATACGTTGTCCCACTGATATTACGATAGACAAACGATCAATGACATTACCATGATCATTATTATTATTGTCGAATCGCGAATTACTGGGCGGTTGTTTCACGAAAGGAACACACATATCCTGTATTGTAACCGTGAACATACAATCAGGTACGTGCGTGCACAAGTTAAGGAATGAGGGCCGGTTTCATGTCGATTCATCGTTTCTTAAACTTCATATTGTCGTTTAAATCTAATTTGAATTGTAGATAAATTGTATGAATTGTAGATATTTATGCAAATTCTAATTATCGAATTTTTTTACTGACTGAATATTATAGCAAAGTACTATTCTTTGAATATTTTATATATTTATTTTATACGTTATTTCAAATTTCGCGTGACTGTATAAAAATCTGCAATTTATTAGAAACTGATACGTAAAAAAGGTTCGTTTACCTATATATCTTTTAGTGACTGGAAAGGTCATCCACGTCGAAATTGTTTTCTTAGAATTATTGCAAGGTTGAAAAGGTTTGTCACAATGTAATGGTCAGTGTTGCATTAATTTCTTGGCGGCCTGATGCTCTCGCGTATCTGTGCATGAGTCTGTATATACATACATACCTGCATGTTATATTTAGATGCAAGGTTAAAAAGAGTCTAGTCAAAGGCGAATCTGACCTTATGAAATCGACCCTCAGCATGCTGAGCGACGAGAAGAAGGGTGGCAAGTTAAGGGAAGGAAGGGAGGGGAAAACGAGGAAAACACACACATACACATGCGAATTAGAAATCGATATATCGTATTCTATGATTTTTTCGGGGCCAATCGGTGTGATTTGTATAAATTGTGAGCTTTTTCTGCGTGATCGTAGGTCGATTTCTATTGTTTTCACGGGTTTGCAAACAATTCGCAAATATAACTTCTGATTTAATCCTTTGTTAATCACGTTGGAAAATCTCTAACCGCGATTTTTGACGATTTTCTATCTGCGAAATCAGGCGATCCTTTTTACCGATGTTGGTGTTCGATTTTTAGTATTCGTCGAGAACATTGTATAACTGTGCTTCGTCTTATATACGTACATTGAATCGTGATTTTCAAAGGATTAATTTTGGAAGCTTCCACGCGATAAAAATACTTTACGCCGAAGCGAAAATTTGTTTCAGTGAAGTCGCATTACTTCGTCCTTGTTCAAAGAGCGCGCGCGTCCGTCGCGCGTGCGCGGTAGATCGCCCGCTCAATTTTGAAATATTTATACGCGCCAAACAGAGTACACGCATACATCGAGAGCATCAATTTTTTATCGTATTATAATTGCCAAGGCACGCACGACCACGAAACATAACAGAACACGATGGATCTCTTACGATATTACGCTTTATGTTTTATTGTGTGTCCACGAATGTACCTATGTACGATATTTCCAATAATCTGATCGCGACTGTTATTCGAAGACGAAAATTGAAACAAAAATGCCATACTTAAAAAGACGGTATTGGGTAGATTAAAACGTTAAAAAAATAGGCAACGTTTCTATCAGAAGCATTTACTATAGAAATTCATAGATATAATTACTGTAAGAGAAACTAATAAGTTTCAGAGTGATTAGAACGCTTGATTCAATTTTTCTATAAGAAATAGAAAATATGGAGGATGCAATATCCAAATAGGTGCAATATTAATGAGCATACAAATTGTCTATTATATTACAGATATATTTACTTAAAGATGTAAAGATCTAGATAGTCTACTGTAAGTAATTAACTATTTCACTACGAGTCTTCTATAATGGCGCAGTGGTCTAGTGCTTGCCTTTGTACGCGAATGAACTCGGGCTCGAGTCCAGCTCAGGATAGAAATCTTCTATTCGATTTTTCTTCGTCGTTCTCTCCATAGATTTAATTCCAGTGAACTTATTATAAAGCGTCGATCTGTCAAATCGACTCTGTCACTTAAAATAAATCGAATAATCGTCGTGAAACTAAAGAACAATACCGAGAACATCGGATAAAAAGGAGATCGTCTTCGAATAATAAGTTCTACGATTAGGTATTTGAAGAGAGAGAGAGAGAGAGAGAGAGAGAGAGAGAGAGAGAGAGAGAGAGAGAGAGAGAGAGAGAGAGAGAGAGAGAGAGAGAGAGAGAGAGAGAGAGAGAGAGAGAGAGAGAGAGAGAGAGAGAGAGAGAGAGAGAGAGAGAGAGAGAGAGAGAGAGAGAGAGAGAGAGAGAGAGAGAGAGAGAGAGAGAGAGAGAGAGAGAGAGAGAGAGAGAGAGAGAGAGAGAGAGAGAGAGAGAGAGAGAGAGAGAGAGAGAGAGAGAGAGAGAGAGAGAGAGAGAGAGAGAGAGAGAGAGAGAGAGAGAGAGAGAGAGAGAGAGAGAGAGAGAGAGAGAGAGAGAGAGAGAGAGAGAGAGAGAGAGAGAGAGAGAGAGAGAGAGAGAGAGAGAGAGAGAGAGAGAGAGAGAGAGAGAGAGAGAGAGAAGGATACAGGGTCGTTCGTGCTAAAAATTCCAAAGAATACGTTGTCGTTATTTATGGGAAATTTACTTAGGCTTAAGCTTGTTGTTAAGTGATGATCGATTTTAAAAACATGCATTCTCTCGATAATATATCCGTATCTTCTCATTACTTTATGAAAGAAAGGAGAGGAGAAGGAACCATAAATGATATGTGTTTAACGACCATGATGGAGGAAAAAAAGCTAACGCTTGTCCACCTAGCTTCCTGCGGAAATTTCAGTGTAAAAAGAAGAGATGCGTTTTAAAATGAGTTTTAAGGAACTGGCGATAAAAATATGCGGTTGAATCGAAGGTGGGGGAGGAGAAGGGGAGGGGGACAATGGGTGTTAGAGAAAAAGTAAGTCTGTGATCGATATCGTGAAATAAAAATCAACGAAGTTTTACCATATCAACAAATAATCATATCAATGATCTTACCATATCCATATAACTCAGGTTGAAGCAGAAAATACGAAAGATATAAAATAGAAACAGAGAAGAAAGTATAACAATCAAAAAGGAGAACCAACTATCTGATCGTGCAAATTAAATAGAAGATCCGTGAGTGTTTTAAGGGATTATTCAAATTTGGTTAACTCCCACCTTTGATCGGTCGTAAATCGACGGAAACGAAGGAATCACATATCATGGCTACGCGTTCCACAGTATACTCGCGGGTGGTGTGCGTCTTTAGGAAGGCACGAAGAACGTTTTAAATATTTAGCGAAACGAAAGAAGAGATGAAGAGAAAAAAAAAGAAAAACTAAATAACATTACGAATATCGACAATGATCGATTTATTGTTGCGATGGCTCGTTTATTATTATTATTATCCACACTCCAGAACCGTTTAACCGGCTACGAATCTGTACTCGTGAAGAAAATGAAAAAAATATTATAAAACCTGCGAATTATACAATCTTAATTCTTGGCAACAAGCTTGTTCTCTACAACCAATCACTCCACTTCCAGTCCTGGACCATCTCCATTCAAAATATAAGTATCATATTCTTTTTTCTTTTTTACATATTTTTTTCATTATTCAACGGTATTTTTTTGTATTCTTTTTTTTTCAGTTTCAAAGAAGAAATAATTTTTGGCTATAAGATTCTTCGGTTCAGTGCAGATTTCCAGTCTTGGTCAGCTTCATTCAATACACTGCTATTTTTTATTCAACCCATTCAATAATACTTTGCACTATTTTCTTTCAGTTTCATAATAAAAGTAACTCTGTCTGTTGATACAAAATTTTCTACTTTAATGGACATCGATAGAACATATTTAAGTATCTTCTAACCGAGATTTCAAATGATTTACTGTCAAGTGGTTATTTGTGTCTCTTTTGCAGATTCCACGTTTCATTTTCACCGTATCAAATCTTTGCAGTCATACAATAATACTACTACAAGAATCAATTACAATTTGAACGAATTAGTATGTAAATGCTATAATTAAAAAGTAGTATGCCAATATTCGTTGCAACCACTGTGTGTACATCAGGGATAAAGTTAATCCACAACGGGAATAACATACATCGGATTATAAAAACTGTTGTGTATTTCAATGTTTACATCAGATATATCCACTTCTAATACTACACTATGTCGAACCTTGAAACGTCTCATCAGACTAGTCGATTTGTTCAAGCTTAGCTTCTTCTGTTTAATAGAAAATTCAGTCTTCAATGTATTATAATAGTTATAACCTACATATATGCTAGCAATGAGAAAGAAATTCGTACCACTATCATTCTACTGTTAAATCGTTGTTTACTTTCTTTCAGTCTCAAAAAGGGAATAGTTTCTTTCTTCTACAAAATTTTCCGCTTTAATGGATATGTATTTAATGTAACACGCTGACAACATTGCTACAATGTAACAAATATCTCTTCTAAGAAAAATTCCACATCATTGAGTGATCAAAGGTGATAGAGAAACATGTACTATACGAAGTATTCAAACAAGGAAGAAGGTTTATTTAAGCATTTCCAGTGAACGAAGAAGAGTACTGTATATCCATAACCAGAAGTATCACAAAAATTGTCAAATTAGCTGAACCTCGTTGAGACACCTTTGTATAAAAGCCAGTGGGCATATTGGCTATGAAGAATGGGACATTTCGTTACTATCCGTGATCGGCAAGTGTCAGCAGATCCGTAAAGTCGCAGAGGATCTCAGTGACTGGGTAGGAGTGGCGGAGGAGAACAAACATCGGCGGGCCAATCGTGAAGAAAGGGTGGTCCGGTGGATGTTTGTCTTGTTGCTCCTCCGGAGGGATGCTGGAATCGCTGTAGAGATAGGCAACGTGTACAAGGTGCGGAGCCAATCGCGCGCCACCACGGAAACATCCAAATGTTGCAGAAGATTAGAGAGTGATTTCTTTCAGCCGGCTGGCCACTCAGTCGTCTATCAACAATCGCCCTGAGACGCCAGATAGTTAGCAATTTATTCGTTTGCCTCGCTGTTTATTCGCATAATCAAATTTGTATCCTCATCGTCGCATGAAATTAATATCTTGTTACGGTGTTAGTATGGGAACCGATAATAGATTGTTTCGTTAATTGCTAGATTGCGGATTTTTCCAAACGAAGATTTATATAAGTGAAAATTGTAACTTTTGTAAATTGCCTACCAATTTGTAGTTTCGCGTCTTAAAAATTGTGACGAGTATGGTACTTTTGTATATTCTATATATTTTTGTACATTCCAGCGTCTTTAATTTAGCATAAGTGCGTAAAACTCTGCAGTCTAGTAATTAC